TCCACTGTATAAAAAGCCCACATCTTTTTTTACCCATTTCTTGGTTGATAGCCATTTGAGTTGTTTCCAAGATTTAACTATTACAAATTGTGCTACTATAAACATGGGTGCACATATATCATTATGGTATGTTTTCAGTTCTCCTAGGAAGACACCCAGAAGGTGAACAGTTGGGTTGAATGGGACCCCAAACTTGGTTTTTTGAGGAATCTGTATAGATTTCCACAGTGGTTGTAACAGTCTACACTCCCACCAACAGTGAAGAGTTCTTTTTTCCCCATAGTCCCACCACCATTTATTATTGGTTGATTTCTTGATGACAGACATTCTTCCTGGAGTGAGACAGAATCTCAGTATTGTTTTAGTTTGCATCTCTCAGATAATCAATGTCGTTGAACATTTTTTAATACACTTATTTTCCATTTGTATTTCTTCATCTGAGAAATGCTTATTCATCTCAGATGCCCAATTTTGGATTGAGTCTTTGAATTTTGGGGTCTGATATTTTTCGATCTTTATATACTCTAGATGTTAGGCCTTTGTCTGAGAGACAGCTGGATAAATTTTTTCACAGCCCATGGGTTGTCTTTTCACTCTACTGGACATTTCTTTTGATGTGTAAAAGCATTTTAATAAGATGGCATTACAGTTGTTGATTCTTTGAAGTATTTCCCGTGCAACCTGGGTTTTGCTCATAAACTATCTGCCTGCACCTATATCTTTAAGAATTCTACCTATTTCTCTTCCAGTAGATCGAATGTCTCTGTTTTAATACTTACATCTTTTTATTTTTTGTATTTTAGTTCAGGACTACAGGGTCGTACACAGATTGGATTTATAGTGATTCTCCTGTTTTCAGCCTCTCAAGTGCTAGGATTATAGGCATGCGCCCTCCCCCCCCCCCCAGGAGCAGGGCTGGCACAGCACGCTGGGGATCGAACCCCAGTCCCTGTGTCTGCCTAAGCAGGCACAACACTTAACTCTTTGATCCATTTTGATTTTAGTTTAGTTCAGTGCATGGTGGTAGAGATGGGTCTAGTTTTAGTCTTTGGCTTTTGAAAGCCTATTTTTCCAGGACCATTTATTAAAGAGGTTCTCTCTCTTTCTTTTTGTTTCCAGTAAACATGTTTGGCCTCTTTGTCAAAGGTAAGGTGACTGAGCATATTTGTAGTTGTGCCTGCAACAGCTACTCTGTTCCACCGATTCTCAGGTCTGTTTTATTGTAAGTACCATGCTGATTTTATAACAGTCTTATAATATAATTTCACTATTATACTATAAAGTCTGGAGTTGCAATGCCTCCTGCCTTATCTTTGTTGCTCAGAATTGCTTTTGCTATTCTAGGTCTCTTTTAGTTCAAAATGAATTTTGGGAATGTTTTCTCTAATTCTGAAATGTATGCTAATGGTATTTTAATCAAAATTTCATTAAATCTGTGTAACAGTGTTCGAGTATGGCCATTTTCACTACCCTATCAATGAGCAAGAGATACCTTTCCATTTTCTCTTTTTAAAAAATCTATTTGTTTATTTGGTAGAAGGTCTCACTATACAACTTCGACTTGTAGTGATTCTCCTATCTCAGCCTCCCTAGCACTGGGATTACAGGCATGCCCCACTACGCTCAGTTTCCATCGCTGGCTCGATGTCAGGGGCCAGCACAGCATGCAGTACCAGGGATCGAACATGGGTCTTTGTGCTTGCCAGGCAGGCACTTAAGACCGCTGAGTAACCTCCCAGCCACTCTTGCCATTTTCTGATATCCTGTTCAATTTCCCTTTTCAGTGAACTGTAATTTTCAATGTATAGATCTTTTACTTCCTTTGTTACATTGATTCCTAAGTATTTCATTTTTGGGGATGCTATTGTGAAGGATGTGGTTTCCCTAATATTGTTCTCAGTGAATTTGTTGGTTGTATACAGGAATGCAATATTGGTGTTCAGAAATAAGAATAAATTAAAATTTTATAAGTATATGTCTTTATTCTACTTTGACTAAACTTTATATTTTGGAATAATTCTAGATTTATATATTTAGATGCCAATGGAATATCCATTTCTGACTAAACAAAAAAAGGCAATACAACGGAAGGACCATTTTGTATCTGTATATGCAGAATAGTTAGGATAGATATACAGCGACTTTCACTTAATTCAATGAGAAGAAAGATTTGTACTAATAGTGTTTGGACAAGATATTGTCTGCATCTTGTGCTACATACGGATAACCACTAAGAAGATAACAATGTACAATGTATTAATTATTGAAACTGTCCTATTAATCAGTTTTGAAACTGTCTCATTAATAGTTGTTTCTCAATAAAATAAAATTTTAAAAAAGATTTATAGTAGTGATTCTGTACTTTTTCACCCATTTTCAATCTAGTATTTCCACTTACCATGATTACACAATACAATTGTTAAACTAAGAAAGCAGCCTTACACGTTATTGGTTAACTAAACTCTAGTCTTTATTTGTATTTCCCTAATTTTCCTCTACTGGTGTTTTTCTGCTCCAGCATCCAGGTGGGGTACCACACTGTATTCAGCTGCCCCATCTGCCTGGTCTCATATGCTCTGTCACTTTAGTCCTACCTTATTTATCAAGACCTTCACAGTCTTAAAGTACACTTCAAAGTGTTTCTTAGATTATCCTTCAACTTAGGCTTGCACATGATTGGGCTAGTATGGATTGCACATAATGTTATGGCTCATATATAAAGGATCCCCAAATCTTCACATGCTCTTAGGTGAGGCTTTTGGGAACTGACTGGGTCTACAGGCAGGTGTATGATAATCAGATTAAGGGTGCATGACACTCAGATTAAGGTGTGTGGTACTAAATCAGACCACTTACTGGAATTAGCATGGTTCTGGGTTTGGCTGAACAGATTTACTAAAGACAGTAGCTGCACTTTGGGTGTAAGTGATACCAAACAAAAGGTTGTAGCCTGGATGGGATAAAAGGGAAAGGCAGGCTCACTACTGCTGCTTGGGTTCTACCTGCCACACCATGGACCGTTTCTACTTTGTGATGCCCCTTGCATGCCACCCTGTGTTGGAGCTGGCTGGCTATGAACTGAAACCTGTACAAAGTCTGAGCTCAAATAAACCTTTCCTCCTCTAACTTGTGGATGAGGTACTTTGTCTCAGCAACAAGAAAGTAACGGAGATAGGAAGGATATGCAGAAGTGAATGACCTTCATCATATCACATTATGGGTAGCATGGGGGCTTATCACCTGAATGTATCTCCTGTAACTCAGCATTGTCACTGAGACACAACTAAAAGGAGAACAGGTTTGTTATGGCCCAGTTTCAGTCCAGGGTTATCTCTCCCTATTGCTTTGAGCCTGTGGTGAGTCAGAACATCATGGGAGGAGCTCGTGATAGACCAAGCTGTTCAGTTCATGGCGGCAGGGAAGCAAAGAAAGGAAGTACCAGGATGCCCGTGTCCTCTTTGATGGCATGTCCTCAGTGGCCTAATTTCCTTCCATTAGTCCCCTCTCCTAGAAATTCCACCCTTCCCACAGTATCACCTAAGCCTTCAACACAGGGCCTTTGGAGGATATTTAATATTCTAACTACGACACACCCCACTCCCGAATTTCATGTGTTGGAAACTTCATCTCTAAATTATGTGGTATTTGGAGGCAGGGTCTTTGGGAAGTAACTGGGAATTGATGAGTTCAAGACAGTGGCGTTTGCATGATAGCACTGGTGAGTTTACAAGGAAAAGAGACGAGATGGAGCACTTGCTCTAAGCACTGGCCTGTGTCACATTATGATGCAGAAGGACCCGCACTGGACATTTACCAGGTGCATTGTCCAGGAGCCGATTCAAACCTTACTGCCTCAGCAATCTGCATTCTAAGGTTTTTGAACAGCATTCCAATAGTCAGCCTGCCTTCTAGGATACGCTAACATTAACCAAGCTCAAGGCTTGGGTCTATGTATTCTTATCTTTACAGACATTTAATTCTGTCCTCGCACCCGTCCTGCAGGGCGGAAAGGGCTCTTGCACAGTCAGTCAAGCGGGGTGAAGGTCAATCTGTGGCGACATCCTACCAGGAAAGCGGGTCGGGTTTCGGGATGTGACATAAACTGGTTCTCGGAGTTGGGGCACCTGCATAACACTCGGCCGAGGTTCCCGAGCATGGACCCCTCAGTAATAAGCTCACCAGGCATCCACTGGGGGAAATCTACTCCAGGGTTTCGAGCTGGGGAAGTTACCAAGCCCCTTGAGCGCGGAGCAAGTTTTTCCGGTGACACCGTGAAGTGCGCTCCAATTAAGAAGTGACCTCATCGTGTTGCGACAACACAAGGGTCTCGGGTCGATGCGGTCCTCAAGAATCTGAAAGTTTCTCCTACTTAGGGTCCCAACTTGCAGCGGATTCGCGGGGCGGCCTGGACTGTCGCTTCGTTCGCTGGTCCAGCAAAGAAAACCTCAGGCACGCCAGCTCCCAGCCAGCCAGCCAGAGGCTCCGCACGCCCGCCCCTTCCGCCGACTCCGCTCCGTCTGGGCCCGCCCCTTCCGCCGGCCCTTCTTGGCCCCGCCCCTTCCGCCGGCCCCGCCCCTTCGCCGGCCCCGCCCTTTCCTCTCATGCTCTCTACGAGGCGTGGATCTACCCGGGTCCCTGCATCTCGGCCATGAGGGTCAGCAAGAGGAAGCCCTCGGGCGGTCGGGATGGCGCGGTTTCGGCTACGGGTGCGGCCAAGCGGGCCCGCACGGAAGAGCTCACGGGCGTGCGGTTCAAGGCTCTGCTGAGGGACCCGCAGGGGCCCGGGCAGGGTGAGTGCGGGGCGCCGGGCCAGCGCAGGAAACACGTGCAGGCCACCGAGCCTCTCCTGCAGCTTTTGGGTCACTGCAGGTCAGACCCAAGCCTCTGGTTCCGCAAGAAACGATCTGGGGTGATTGGGCGTCCAGGGCTTTGGGCCGGCCTGGGCTGTCAGCGGCGAGCGGGCCTGACTCTGTTAGTTGTGACAGTTTTCATGCGACTACACATTTCCCTTGTCCCGGCAGCAGCCCTCAGCAAGTTTTAAAACCTCTTTATTGCCCTTGTCAGGAAAATAAAGTGCCGACTCTCACGCATCAAACGGTGCTTGAGCCCCTACTGTGAGACCACTCGGGGCAGCTCATTGAAGACAGCTTGTATTCCTTGGGCTGTGAGCATATTTTCCATAGCGTGATCCTCCAATGCTGAGGCTGACCTAATAACGCAACAACCCGCCACAACTCCTTGTCACTTGTCCAGCATGGGATCAGAGACTGGAATTAATCAAATCCTGTAATTTAACTTCACATTTTGTGACATATAACCATACTTCACAACTATCAGTAATCCTTTGAAAAGTATGGAGATGATGAAGCAAAAACAGTTGAACGTGTTGTCTGCTGCAAACGTTGGCACCGTGCTAAACTAAAACCATGATAGTATTTCGTCTAGCTTAAAGGAGTTGCTAAGTTGTTGCTTAGAATGTCCTCAGATTCTAAATTTTCTCCTACAGATTTTCTTGTTAAAACTTTTGATGCTTGCCCTTTCTAGTCAGTGCTAGGAAGATGATTTCTACTTTAGGACAGAATTACACATTTCATTCATGTAGCCATTCATTTATTTGTTAGGATTAGGGCTAAAATGGTGAATAAAAATGTGGCACAGGCCCTCCCACAGGTCTTCCTAAGTGGGCAATGCAGATAACCAATAAAATCAATAGTTTCAAGCTAAATTCTCGAGAGAAGCTGTACATAATATGAGGAGGTTCTTAATGGTAAAAGACAGTGGCAGGAGCAGCTGGGGAAAGGGCTATGAAGTGGGCCCCTAAAAGAAGACTTGGCGAGGCAGGCAGAGAGCTGATGGGATCAGAAACACAGTGCCGGTGTCAAAGACCATCTGGGTCTTTTGTTGTTTTCGGGGTTTGCCTTGCACTGTCTGGGATGCTGAATGCCTTCCAGGTAAACTAGCCTCTTTGCACTTCATGCAGGCAGTGGTGAGTAGGTACAGAACTGGATGGCGCTGTATGTGCCTATGGACTGGAGTTCCAGATGGAGCTGCTGTCTAGAAAGAGGGATGTGTTGGTTTCCTGTGGACACCTCATAGCCCCCCCCCCCCCAGAAGCACATCCTCTTTTGGGCCTCACGCATCAAGGGCATATAGAGAGTGAGCTGAACAGTAAGGGATCTTGAAACTAGTCTGTAGAGAGAGAGGCTGAGGGCTGCATGTGGCCTGCAGAGGGGCAGGCTTCAGTGATGGTAGCTGGTGTGAGAAAGGATTTGCATGTGGCTCCAAAGCAGAAGCAGACCCCTGGGGAGGTAGACAGACTGCCCCTGCTCTGGTACAATATTTACATGAAGACTTTGTTGTCTTTATTATTACTGTAGTCTTTAGTATTGTGATTGTTGCAATACATTCCTTGTGGGGAATTTGTATGTGTATATGACACTCATCTTAATTCCTTTTGTTTCATACCCCTCTTTGCTTTCCTCTTTTTCTAATTTTTTTAAATGTATTTGATTATTGCAGGATCTTACTATGCAGCTCAGACTCATAGTGATCCTCCTGCTTTCAGCCTCCCCAGTGCTGGGATTACAGGCCTATACCACTATGCCTGGACTCTGGACTGCACAGCCCGCCCTAGGGGCAGAGCTGGCGTAGCATGTGGTGCTGGGGATCCAACCATCTCGCCAGCCCTTCTCCCTCTTGATCCTCTTCCCATTTGAGAAAGATCTATCTCCTTACTTTCTGTTGTCTTTCGTTTTGTTCTTCATTTGTATTGTGGGTTTCTCTGGGATATTTAAGCTTGTGTATGTAAATACTCAAAGTACATCCATTCACTACAAATGACATTTTCTTTATCCATTCATTTGTTGACATACATGTAGGATAGGATTTAGCTAGTGTAAATTGAGCTGTTATAAACATGGATATGCATGTATCTCTTATATGGTGTCTTTAAATCTTTTGGGAAGATCCTGGAAGGGGGAGTAGCTGGATCCAGTAGAATTTCTAGTGTTAGCTTTTTGAGGGATCGCAGTATTGATTTCCTTAGTGCTTGTACTGGTTTACATTCCCACCAACAAGAGAAAAGGATTCCTTTTTCCCTGTAACCTCTCCAGCTTGTTATTACTTGATTTTTTTGATGGTGACCATTTTTTAAAAATAATTTTATTGAGAAACAAATAGAAATGAGACAGTTTCAAAACCAATGAGTAGGACAGTTTCAATAATTAATGCATTGCATATTGTTGTCTTAGTGGTTATTCACTGTACAAGATGCAGACATGATATCCTGTCCACAAACACTATTAGAACAAATCTTTCTATTTACTGAATTAAGGGCCTTCATCTTTAATTACCTCCTTAGAGACCCTGTGTCCAAATACAGCCTTCTAGGCATTAGGGTGCCACATATGAATTTTAGGTGGCAAGTGGCTGAGTCTGTAGCATTTGTGATAGGCTCAGGAGGCTGTGCTTTTTGACCTTTGAACATGACTCTTTTTAGGCTTGGAAGCATTTGTCTCTGCTGCCAAGAAGTTACCCCAAGAAGATGTGTATGATGTCGTGGAAGGGTACATAAAGATTTCTGTTGAATGTGCGGAAATTTTCCAGCTCCTGAGTGGAGAGAAGCGACCTGAGAGTGAAGTATGTTTGTTCTTTACCTGATTTGAGGAAGAGAAGCTCATGCTGTGTGGTGTTGATTTAAGCTTGAGGAAAAAGAATGTCAGTTCCCAGACAGCGTCAGTCATTTTCAGAAAATGATTCTTTGTACTAGAGGGTAGGAGTAGCCTGTGTTCTTTATGACCTCTGGAAGTATATTAGTGGAGAATACTAAGTTCTTATTAATATTTGGTGAATAATGTCAAAAGGCACGATCAGAGATAAGAAGGCACCTGGTTTGTTTTAAAAGGGAAGCAGGTAAGTACCATACAGCAGTCTCAGAGCTCATGTAGGATTGGTTGTCTTTGGGTTCCAAAGAGGTTGGAAATTTAGAATATTTATGAACTTATAGTCTCCAGGCAGTTATTATAAGGCTGTAGACCCTGAAGCAGTGAGACCTGATTATCATCAGAGGCCTGTCCCTCTGCCAGGAGTTGGCTATGTGTAGTTGTAAGTGAAGTACTCTCTGGCTCAGGGTCCTGGTGGGTGAGCCTGGGAGCCGAGCCCTGTGGCCTGTGCTGCCTTTGGCCCAGGGCCTGAGAGGCCCACCTCTGCACATTGGCTCCTGTCATGATGAGAGCAGTGAGCGTGGACAGGAGGAGAAGAGGAGAGATGGATCTCAGCTTTGCAACTCCATCTTTGTAGGTGCTATTAATCTTTCAAGTCTTGGAGGCCATATTATTGCGGACAGCAAGTGATCTTTCACATTTTCATGTCGCGGGCACCAATATTGTGAAAAAGCTAATGAACAACCACATGAAGCTCATCTGTGAGTCCCTGTATGCATCAGGTTACAGGTAAGTGGCCTGCTTCTGTGTGACAAAGGCCTAGCCTGTGGTGTGGTCTGTGCTCAGCTCTCCCTGAGTGCCTTTAACCCTTCCATCACTCATTAAGGAGAGGCGAGCTGTTTCTGAGGCCCTTGTGATGGTGTGTCTGCCTTCTAGCGAGGGCTGTCACTGATTCCTGTCCTACCACGTGTGCTTCCTGCTCCTCCAGCTGCCTTCCTCACTGAGCTGGGAACAGCCGGCTTTACGTAGCCTGTTCTTCCTCATGGGCTGTTCTCCCATGTAGCCCTGGCCTCGCTGCCTGCCTTCAGTGCTTTGCAGAAGTGTCACCTCAGTGGGGCCTTCATTTGACTGCCTATGTCCAGTAGTGCTCCCACTGTCCTGTTACGCTCAACCTGCTGAACGTGGGCAGATACCTGCAGAACTGACATCACATTATGTACCCACTGGCCACCTTCCTCCACTGCAGCACAAGGGTGGATATGGGCAGGGGCCCTGCATGCCTCACAGTGCTACCTTCCCAGGATTAGAATGGTGCCTCTCATGGAGCAGGTGCTCAGTGAGCCAAAGACTGCAGAGCTGAAAGGCGGCCTCAGGGTAACTTCTGAGAGACCTTGAGGAAGAAGTCACCCTGTGTTCTGGGGATATGCAGACTCAAATGTGGTTTGTTGTTCCTGACCTTGCTTGGTTTTTCCTGTCTCTGTACAGGGTAGCTCGATCCTGCCTCAACCTAATGGCTGCCATGGTGACCCAGGGTCCGGAAGCTGCCAGGGATGTCTGCAGCCATTTTGATCTGAATAAAAAGAACTTGTATGCTCTGGCAACTAAGAGGGACTCAAAGGTTAGTACCCCAAGTATTGTACTTCCTCCCTGACTGTGGATTAGCCATCCAGCAGAGCCTAAACCCAAGGGACATCTGAGGAAGCTTCTAGGGCCAGAGAGGAGGGCAGGAGTTGGCTCTGGTGCAGTGACTCTGAGGATGACTTAGCTGTGGGCACCCACTCTTCTGAGTGAAGGAAGTAATTTCTGCCTCACAGCAGAGAGGGCTATAAAGTGCCCTGGTTCTTCATTCTTATCTGTCCCATTAAAGATTATCTGGACCTCTAAGCCACTGACATCCTCAAAAGAGGCTTTTTTTAAAAAATTAATTTATTTGGTACAGGATCTCACGATGCAGCTCATACTGGTAGTGATCCTCCTGTCTCAGCCTCCCAAGCACTGGGATCACAGGAGTAAGCCACCAAGCCTGGTTCTGGGGATCGAACTTGAGTCCCTGTGCTTGCCAGTCAGGCGCTTAGATTGCTAAGCAATCTCTCCAGCCCAAAAGGGCTCTTATGGCTCTTCAATAAATGACTTTGTGCCTCTCAGTTATCATCGTGTCATGGGTTGGGGCTAAGTGTCAGGAAAGAGGTTGGAAGTATAAATGCTTGGTTTTTAGGAGAACTGTAAAAAGAATTCTCTGGTGGCTCCAACAGTTCCACTTGGTTCTGAAAGGGCCCTGGGGAAGAAGCTCAGTAGGAACTCTAGTTCTCATCACTTTCTGAGTAGAAGGACAGTTGGGCAGGTAGAGAACCTGTGTTAGCATGATTCCCCATCTAACCATATGCTACGGTACTGCTGGGAATCAAGTTTCTACATTGTCAGGGAATAGAGTAATGGGTTAATAAGAATGCCAGGTAACTTCTACCGCCCTGTAAGATTTGGTCTGATGTTGAAAGTTTTACTGGAATTACAGATAAGGTATTCTCTGAGGAAAAAAGTGCAGGTCTTAGTGTCTCTTAGATACTATGCTTTATTAACTTGTCAACGGATTCCATTTAGTGAGTAATGGCTCCTGGCATTTAAATGCATTTCTAATAAAAAGAATGTGTGTGCGCACTCAGGCAACTATCATGGTGCTTTGGTCTTGGCAGCAAGCCTGGCAGTAATTGTCTATCAGGACCCTGTCCCTTCCAGCCCTGTCTCCCTTGACTTCAGCCATCTGAGCTGCAAAGACTAGGCACCCAGGCCACCCACTGAGACCAGAAAACTGGGAAGACCCACCTGTTGCGCCCCCTCCTGAGCCCATTGCATCAGCTCTGTCACAGTTTGCCTCTACAGTATCTGTAAAATGGGAGCTAATGGCAGGCTAAAAATGTATTTGCTTTCATTTAATCTAGCTCAAAGATGAGAGCTCTTAAATGCTTGGTGTGTTGTGTGAAATGGTGTCTAGACAGTAAATTTTTTTTTATTACTGGAAATGTCAGGGACATTAAAAATAGAGCGGCATAAGGAAGCTTTATGTTCCAGCTTCATCACAACTTGTCACCCCTCCCACTTCTTCAGCTTGCTCGGCGAAGCCTATTATAGCCAATCTCAGACATGAATCATATTTCACCATAAATATTTCAGTAACAGAAAAAGACTTTTAAAGAAACAAAACCACCGAACCATTATCACACCTCCCACTATTAATAATTTCTCAGTGTCTTCTAAAATCTTTCTGGATCTCCCAGTACTTCTGACTATCTGAAAATGATTTTTGTACTGTCTCTGTCCCTTTCCTGTCACTGGGATGCGGTACCCCACGCCCACAACTTAAAGGAGTTGAGGTTTATTTTGGCTCAAGGTTTCAGCCCATGGTCAGCTGGCACCAAGGCAGGAAGGGCACGGTCAGAAGGTCCGGCAGAGGAAAGCTGCTCACATCATGGTGGGCAGGAAGCAGAAGGGAGGAGCGGGCACCTTTCCACGTTGCAGCCCCAACAAGTTACCTAACAGCGCATCAGCTGTTCTGTGCCTATGATCCAGTCACCCTCCAAACACATGAAGACTTGGGGTCATTTTAGATCCAAAGCATAACAGACTCTGGTTGAAGAGTGAATCCAAGCACAATCCACATGTTGCGTTTGGTTGATAGGCTTCTCCAGCCTCTGCCTCTCTTCTCAATCTTTGTGTTTCTCTTGCCTCTCTTAATACATGTCAGTTGTTAAAGATGCTAGTAGCAATTTCTGTTTTTCAGTGAGTGCATATGAATGTTTGCAAGGCAATTATTAAAGCCTCCTGAAGAAAGGACCATGGATATCTTCATCCAGCCAAAGAAAGCATTGTTAAAATCCTGTGCCAAAGAACAATCTTGCCAAATATGTTTTGGTCTATTTTAGACAGTATTTTGCAGAACAAGCCTTGAAGAGTTCAGGACATTTTCTTCCAGGGATAGCAGCTCTGTGAGGTCACAGAGTAGGAATGAAGGGTTAGGTGTGTGAGCTTCTTTTAGTAGGAGCAGGATGTCTGTGAGGAGCTGCAGTGGTGCCAGCCTGGGGTGGGCAGGTGCACAGTCTTCGAGATCCCATCTGCCTTGTTCCTTCCCAGGGTTGGAGGCTGTCAGGTTAGAGGCTGTCAGGTACAGAGAAGGGTGATAACCAAATTCTTTCTCACTTAGAAATGCATTGCTAGAGGACCTATATGGGAGGATCTAGTCCAAGTTTACTGTGTGTAAGTGGGACAGCAAGATCTAGAACTGCAGAAACTTTGGCCAGCGTTCCAGGCCCCTGACTCTAATACAGTCTCAGTGGACAGAGTTGGCAGGGGGGTTCCACTAGCAGGGAGAAAATAAAACCTAATTTATTTTTTTTTAGACAACTCTTAATGTTATACCAGCATTTATTCACAATATGATGCAGGTGCAGACCAGGATGACAGTGACTGTGCTGGGATTAGTGACATGTTTATGTGAACGGTGAGGCCCCCAGGTAGCTCTGGAGTGGTGGTTACTTTAAGTTCCCTCAGAATAGCTTCTTAGTTGACTTGAATGCCATGGAGCTTTGTGAACATGAAACTGGTGAACAAAGGCATAGCACAGTGTGTACCGGTTCTGCATTCCCGCTACCATTGTACCCAAACCCATATGGAGAAGAGGCCTGCAGATCAGAGGGGTTGGTTGATGCCTGGTGGTATCTGGAATGAATCAGCATTGATCTGATAAGGTCCTGCCAAGTGCTGCATGACATGGATGGGGCAAGAGTCAAGAAGTTTAGCATGTGCAAGGCCTATGTCCAAGTGTTTGAAAGTAGGAATTACATACTCTCGCCCTGCCTTTTTTCTTTTTTCAAGTACTGGGAAAGAAACCTAGGGCCTTAGGCATGCTGGGCAAGCAGTCTGCCGCTGAGTTGCAGTCCCAGCCTCCTTTACTTTAGGGACTCACTAAGTTGCCCAGCTGGCCTCAAGCTTGTAGTTCTCCTTTCCCAGCCTCCCGGGTAGTTGGTGTACTGGCATCTCTTCTGCAGAAGACATGCCCCAACAAAACAAGAAGGAATTGGTCAAATACTCGTACAGAGACATAAACGATGCCAAACAGGCCTGCTGCACTTTGAGAAAAGGTGAAATGCAGATGCCCGGGAGCCCTGAGAAGCAGGGAGAGCGTCTTTTTATTTGAACTTGAAGCAGCATGTTTATGCAGTTATTTCTTAATTATCTCAGTTCTGGTACTTGGTTACTTAGCAGCTGTGTGACCTTGATTGAGTTTTTAAAATCTCATTTTGCCCATCTATAAAGTGAGGATGATGAGCATCTTCCCCCCAGCTTACCGTGAAGAATGAGGTAACAGATGGGCAGTATCTGGCGGCGTGTCCAGTATATTGCTCAGTAACCACTGGCATCACTGACTGTCATTATCACCGCTGCCTCTGCTGCCACTGCTAAGTAGGGCGGGGCTCTCTGGAAAACAGAGATGGCCCCATGGCTTTTCTTGCCGGGTATTTACAACAGTAATTCTGTGTACTATTAATTTATTCCTTGGTGGTGAGTGAAGGTGCCTTGGTATTACTGTGTGGTGAGAGAAGGCTGGAATTTAAGTGGGGACAGCCTAAGCATACATGCTAGCTCTAGAGCAGCCAGCAAGAGATGTGTGTTCTGTTCTACAGCTTCCGTAAGTGTAGAAGGAGGTGATGAGATGCGGCTTTGTCTCCTGACACTGGAAGGGAACACTGACCAGCTGCCCTACTGGCCTCCCAGGAATGTTAGCTGCTGGCCATGGGCTTTGGGCTTTGCTGCCCCAGGTCGCCACTGATTCTCGGGTAGTGCAGGCTGCAGACCTGGGGCAGCTGGGTCCACACATGAAGCATCTGTGCTTTGGTTTCTCTTGTGAGTTAATAATTTATAATATCTAATAAAAACCAGACATCAGCACATTGGCTTCCTATCAAAAGTAGCACCAGACTTTCCATTCTTTCTAGATTTGCCAAAACAAGGATGGATTATTGTATTGGCAGACAAGAGAATAGATCTAGGTGGGCTGAGAGTTTTGATGTGCGCTAAAGTGATCCATAAACCTAACACTTTACATGTTACGGTTGGGGAAGGGGTACAGTTGGGGGTAAGAGAGCAAAGGAAAACACTTGGCTTTCCATAAAATGTGCATTGGCTGCAGACAGCCGCTCTCAGACGATTGGGAACAAGCCTGAGAGGTAATGCTGGAAGGCGCGTGCATGCCTGCCTTGTTCCTTTCTCTCCGGCCTATGTGTGAGACGCATGTGACATGTTGGTCTCCTTTGTCCTCTAGGGTGTGCCTGACGTGCGGCTGGCGTACATCCAGTTCGCCCTCTCCTTCTTAATTGCTGGTGATGATAGCACTATAGGGCAAGTGCTGGAGCTGAAAGGTAGGTATTCCCTTGGTCCTGTAGAAAAGCCCACCCGCAGTTGTTCTGAAAGACCTATTGCAAGGCATTTCTTCCAACAAATCTACAGCCTTTGAAGCTGCATTGTGCTCTGGCATGAAGGATGTGTGCAGGGGCAAAGCTTGGCCATTGCCATCTTGATATCACTGTTTAGCACAAATGGAGGCATGAACTGCGCCCTAACAAGGTTAATGCAAACAAGCAGTCTTTTGATTCCAGAACATACACCAATTCATAGCCTTGGCTACCTGGCTTTCCTTAGTAATTGCATTTATTAAAATATAATTTATTTGGTTCGGGATGCAGCTCAGTAGTAGAGTACTTGCCTATCATGTGCAAGGCCCTTGGGTTTGCTCCCCATTACCACACATGAAGCTCCAGAGCTTGAGGGCGTGGGTGGTGGCTAGCTTGGTCTGTGTGGAGGCATCACTGGCAGAGCACCCTGGAAGAGGGCTCTGTGCACAGACAGTTCTACCCACTCGTTGCCCAAACTAGGTTCAGGATGTCCTGCTGCTACCAGGGCCAGCGGTTTCTTTACAACTCCCCTGGATCATCATAGCCATCTGGGCTCTTGCTGAAAGACTATGGGTACTCATTTCCACTTCCAGAAGGGCAGGTTTCTGTGGGCAGTTTGGCCTCCTGTGTCAGATCTTCCAAGGTGTTTGATGTAGCAATTCCATGTATAGGCGTTTGTCCTAAGGAAATAGTTAAGGATGTAAGTAGAGGTTTTGATGAAGGAAGACTTCTGCATTGGCTGAAGAGCAAATGTCTTCTAGCCATGTAAGAGATCAGCTAAGTAAGTTGAATACTAGTCATATGATGGAACGCAGCTCTTAGAAATGCTGGAGAAATGTGCTTATGGACACCAGAGTTTGTCACTGATACATGATTGGGTGTCACTCGTAGAGCGATAAAGCGTGAGCCCATCGTACTAACAGCTAAGCAGAATGATACCGTTATATAAGAAGGCTAGCAGTTACAAATTAAAATATTGTGATTGCTCTGGTGCTTCTGTGCAGTGTCACCAGGGTGCTGTAATGTCAGGTCCTGCAGCTCTGATGGCTATCTCCCTGGTGGTGGAAAAGTAGGACGAGAAAGCAGAAAATGAACCAACAATCCCCCCAAACTCCTCCCACCAAGCAATAAATGATTGTAATTTTAAACATGTCTCAGCAATATTAAGCAGGGGATAAATTTTAGAAGGCAGTAGTCATACAGCATATTCTTTTTCAATCATTGTTAAATTCATTTTACATGTATAAAAATGAAACAAGAACTACTGAACTTCTGGCTGGGCGGGGTAGCACATGCTGGTGATCCCCGTGCTCAGGGGGCTGAGGCAAGAGGGTAGCTGCCAGCCTGAGGAACAAAGTAGGTTCAAGGCCGGCCTGAACTGCATAGTGTGTCAAAAAGAAGAAAACAGCTACTAAACTTTTTTAGAAATCCTATCATTTTACCTTTAGGTACTCTTGATTTCCTATGTCATGAAGCTGGTTTTTCCTACTGGGAAATTGTCTAATTGAAAAAGACAGAACTTTTTTTTTCAAGGTACATGGCATTGTTTGCTGTACCATTTAATAAATAATATTTTCTCATTTGTTCCCATCTCCAGCATACTTCTGCACTTAATGCTTTGCAACTTTTATTTTCAGAATTTATCCCTTGCATTTTTAGCTCAGGCATAAAGGAAGATAGAATTTCTACCATCAACATTTTGTTATCTACATTGCAAGCAAAGGTATGTGTTGGGTGATCAGTTTTTCTGCCATTCGTTTTCTCTTCATGAATGAAAAAGTGGGGTGTTACTGGTTTGTGTGTGTCCGTCCGTCCGTCCGTCCGTCCATCTGTCCATTTGCAGCTTTCTCCACTATAGTTAACCTAGATTGAGTGGAAAACCACTGCTTACACTGATGCTGGGCTTGACAGTGAGCAAGTTCCGGGCTCGGAAGCTGGAGGCTGGCAAGAGCTGTGATCAGCAGCTCACGGCCACCCAGTCTCTTAAGCATGAGCTGCGAATTGCAAATCATACTTCACAGACACATCTAGTACAGTGTTAATTAGTGTCCCGTCGCATATTCTGCATTTTACAAACATCCTTACAGAAATTTAAAAACTTGCCTGAAAGGATTAGTGTCCTTGAAACAGAAACAACTTAAGTGATTAATTAGGAAAATTCCGTGGCTTTCTCAGCATGAAAAGTTGTCACGAACCCGTGTAAAAATGGCTAATAAACATGAAAGCACTTTACTTTTGTAGTTCATAAAACAGTGGTTCTCAACTGAGTACAGGTTTGCTCCCCTTGAGACATTTGGCAATATCTGGAGACAGTTTTTTAAATTTTTAAAATTTTTATTTGTTTTTCTGACAAGGTCTCACTGTAAAGTCCAGACTGGTTTTAAACTCATTTTGTGGTGGAACTGGGGATTGGACTCAGGCCCTGTGCTTGCCAGGGAAGTGCTTATTCCACTGAACCACCTCCCCAGCCCTTAAACTCATTTTGTAGCCCGGCCTGTCCTCAGATTTGTGGCGATCGTCCTGCCTCAGCCTCCTGAGTGCCGGGATTATAGGTGTGTGCCACCATGCTATGCTGGAGTCATGTGCAGTTACGACTGGGGACTACAACTGACCCTTAGTCAGGCCACACTGCCCCCTTCTCTAAGAATGTCTCCTTACCTGAAGTAAAATAGAGTGGCATGTAGGTTTTCTTCCTGTAGCAGGATAACATTGATGGTTTTAAAAAATGACATTCAGTATAGTACTAGCAAAGACGCTTTGAGTTCTGCACTCCCGGAGAGAATGTGCCAGAGCCTTGTGGAAGGAGGCAGACTGGCACCATGTGCTAAAGGTCTTATGTATACTTCGGGCCTGACTTGGGGCCGCTGCCAGCCGCAGTGTTGTATCAGAACCTCCTGGAGGATGCAGTTCAAATATGGAGACTAGGTCATGCCGTGTGGCTCGGTGGGGCTGAGATCTTATGCTGCTGCAATTCCGTCTGTAAGGCTCTGCCAGGCCCTTCCTAGAAATGCAACATAGACCTCATACAAGGCTTGATGGGGAGTGGCCAGGTAGAAACGCCAGGGGAAAGGTAGGGTAAGTTAGGGTCCGTGACAGCACACAGGATTATTTCACTCCCCAAAACAATCTTCAGGAGGAATTCTTAATGTGGTAAAGCTTAATGCTAGATAAGTAAAGGAAGCACAAAACATATAGCAATATAATCTGAGGCCCAAAAAGGTAGCCAGGCTGTATACGTGCTTGGCATGCTGTGCCTGTACATACGGGGGCTAAATGAAAACTTCAGAATGGTGACGAGGTACCAAGATGTTTGGGATAGTGGTGAATTCTGTATTTCTCTGCACATTTCCCCCTTTTTTGGGCCAAGTTTTCTCCAGTTAGCATGTGTTTTTATAATGATGAAAAGACAACAGTATTTTAAAAAGTAAATGAATTCTTTGAGCATTGTTTGTTCTATCATTGTTTTCAGGTAGTTCACAATAAAAATATCACCAAGACCCAGAAGGTACGCTTCTTTACTGGGCAGCTTCTGGTCCACATAGCATCTCTCTACAACTGGAATGGGATTGCTGATGTAACCCCAGAAAATTCGGAGAACACCAAGGTACAATCTCTTGGGTGTCAGTTTACCTTGATAGTGGTAGCATGTCAATATTGCACTAGACTTTAAAACCCCTAGCTGGATGCAGTCGTGCATGCCCATGATCCCAGCACCTGGGATGCTGAGGCAGGATGACTGCTACAAATTCAAGGCCAGCATGAGCTACTTAGGCAGAACCTGTCTCGAAAACCATGGGGGAAAACTAAAAAACAGATCCTATCATTTCATCTGTTTCTTTTGGCTTGTTATATTCTCTGCTAAATGCATTGTGATTTTTAAAAATTTTATTATTATTATTCCCAGTGCTGGGGATTGATCAGCCATGGTCCTACATTGCAATCCTGTGTGGGGTTTTTTTGTTTGTTTGTTTTGAGATAGGGTCTTAATAAATTGCCCATGCTGGTCTCAAATTTGTAATTTTTTTTTTTTTTGACAACTCATACAGAATTTTACTTAAAGTAATATGAATTTCACAGTATTTGTTGTAATACATGGTATTGTCTTACAACCAGCTATTCATATTATCAGATATTGGAAGAAGAAAAATCTGGACCAATGTATAAGACATTAAGAAAAGAAAAAGTACAAACAATTGAAAAAAAGAAGACGAAGCTAATTAGAGCATTGACTGTTTCTTTCCATTTCCATTTTTGTTTCTTTTTTTTAAATATTTATTTATTTTGTCCTGTCAGAGGTGAATATTCTGTTAGCATCTAAATACTATAAGTGTTTGAATTCAACTAAACATCTAATACTGTCTAGCAGTCTATAATATTAGTGGGTTATCCTCAGAAGTTATTGACTTGAGCCTTTTACAGCTCATCGTATTAATATAGATTTACTTTATATACCTCATTTTTATACTTTTCTACTGGATGGTTAAGACCAAGATATAGCAAGACCTATATACCCAGAATTGTAACTTTTGAATCTGATAAGGTCAGCCAAGTACTCTCAGGATCTATCCTGTAGCCCTGTACCACCTTTTGTACATTCTTTTGTCAGTGTCTGACCTGAGGATGAGTTACGGCCATTGCTTGACTAATTTGCTCTCTGTGAAAGCTTGAGAAAATGTTTTTTCTCTCCATGTAATTCTTCCCAGGCTCACTTTAGATCCTCGAACACATTTCTCTGTGGTTCCATAATCTTCTTGATCAGAAAGTTTGGAGCACAACTGAGTTACATGTTGTTACAGTGCAGGTTCTCCTATGTCCCGAGTCTTCACTGACCTTGAAAGGGTAGGGCCAAAATGTTGGCTAATCATGCAGCCCTTCTTTTTCTCCAAATTTTGATCTGCTAACTTAGGTTGTTAACCCTCCAGAAGAGAAGCTAATTATTATCCTGCAATATATGCAGTTTAGTTTATCCTATCTGTAGAAATATCAAACATTTTGCCATATCCTGGAACAGGTATCTTCCATCAGATATTGATATGTTGAACTTTAAGTCCTTACAGAATATGAAGGAAAAATAATTATATAAAAGTAGAAATAAGCATTTACATATTTTTACAAAGAAATTTAGAAACCTAGTCATATACAGAATTGTAAGTCCTTATATTAGGGAGATAATACGATATTTACAGATGTGGGTCTGGTTTATTTCACTAATAAGTATATCTTCAAGGGGCATCCACTTAAATATGAAGGCTTCAAGTTTATCATTCTTTATAGCTGAGTAGTACTTCATTATATAAAAGTACCATATCTTTTTCAACCATTCCACATGTGACGGTCATTTTGGTTGTTTCCAAGTTCTGGATATTACAAATTGTGCTGCTATAAACATAGGCCCACATATATCACTATGATATGACTCTTTCAGTTCCTCCGGGAAAATTTCCAGTAGGGTGATAGCAGGCTTGAATGGGATTTCCAGTCCTAGTTTTCTAAGGAGTCTCCACACTGATTTCCATAATGGTTGCACCAGTCTACACTCCCACCAACAGTGGAGAAGGATTCCCCTTTCCCCACAGCCTCTCCAACATTTGTTGTTGGTTGATTTCTTTATGATAGCCAATCTTTCTGGGGTGAGGTGATCTCAGCATTGTTTTAATTTGCATTTCACGGATGGCTAGTGATGTGGAGCATTTTTTCATATATTTATTCGCTTCTTTAATTTTGTTCTCTGAGAAGTGTGTATTCATCTCGGATGCCCACTTCTGGATTGGGTCTTTAAATTTGGACCCTAATGTTCTTTAGTTCTTTACATATTCTAGAGAGCAGACCTTTGTCTGAGTGCTTGTTAGTTAAGATTTTTTCAAAGTTTGTGGGTTGTCTTTTCATTTTGTTGATAATTTCTTTTGACGTGAAAAAACTTCTCAATAAGAGATGGTCCCAGTTGTTAATTCTTTCAAGTGTTTCCCGTGCGATTTGGTTTCTGTTCATGAACTCTTTGCCTACTCCTATGTGTTCAAGGGATCCTCCTACTTTCTCTTCTAGGAGATTTAGTGTTTCTGATTTAATGCTCAGTTCTTTAATCCATTTTGACTTTAGTTTAGTGCATGGTGATAGACCTGGGTCAAATTTGTAATCTTGCCTCAGCCTCTCAAGTAGCTAGACTTACAAGCATGAACCATTATACCCAGATATTACATTTTGTATTTTTACCCTATTTTTGTTCTCATCTGGAAGTTACTATGATAGTACATGGTTGTTGTTTTCAATGAGAAAACTATTACTCCCCCTCACGAGTGACAACTTAATTTTGTCTACAGGGTTTGCCTGATGCATAGAGTTTGCCAGTTCTGTGATACTTTCTTCCTCCTTGTGTAGGCTTTCCCTTTCCTTTCTTCCATACTTTCCACATCCAGGTTTTGGAGTTTCAAAGTTTGTTTTGTTTACTTTAAAATCCTGTCTCAGGAACCTTCTATTTCCCTACCTATTGACAGGGATCGTTTATATTATGATCATTTATTTGTGCTACCTTAGAACAGTTGCTCTCAGATTGCGGTCCTCAGTGTTGTCAGCAGGGGCTTGGCCAATGTGGCGTAGGTACAGCCTTTCTGTTCACTTCTGAAAAGCTCTGGAGCCTGCTGCTTTCCTCCCTTTTAGCTCAGTGACTTGCCCAGGTCATCTTGCTTCAAACATATTTTTGTGCCCTCTTTTACACGTAGTCCTGCGGGCATAATAACACTTCTAAATGTGCAGTTTCATTGAGAAGTGCAAGACAAAGTAAAATCATTTGAAAGCTTTTAAAAATAAAGGTTTAAACTTGGCTCTCAAATGTCTTCATTTATCTTGATGGATGTGTCTGTTTGGGCTGGTTTTGTTTGGGGGAAATAATTCCATGTGTTTAAAATTTTCTGAGTTGTCATTAGGCGGGTGTCACTGTCCTATTTTTATGCTGTAGCTGACACGAAGGTCTATGAAGTCGTGATTCACTGCATTACTTTCTGACCCTTGTAGCTGTCTGCCGAAGAAGCAGGGAAAGCCATGGTGAGGGAGCTCGCTCATAACTTTCTGTTGGATCTTTGCTGCTCGTTCAAGCATGGGATTAATTTCTATGATGCCTCTCTGGGCACCTTTGGCAGGTAAGCTCCAGCGCTCTCGTAAGCCCCAGCATGTGTTCTCAGAAGCCATCATGTTCTGACTGGAAAGCTACATGATAGAATTGTACGTTAGATCCACTGAAGAATGGATAAGGAAGGTGTGGCGTTTTTACACAATGGAGTATTACTCAGTTATAAAACAGGATAAATTTGAGCCTTTTGTCAGTAAATGGATGCAAGTAAAGAACATACTTTTAAGTGAAATAAATCAGACCCACGTGTGCAAGCATCATATTGTCTCCTTAGTGTGAGAACCTGAAAGAGAAAAATGGAATCTGAAGGGTACAGTAGACACTGTTAAAAGGGAGTGAACTTATTCAAAAGGAAAGAGTTACTGAGCTGAGGAGAAGTCCAGGAGAAGGAGTGTGGAAAGAGATTTATCTATGTATGCAAGCAGGAGGGTTTGGACAACTGTATTGTGCATTTCTGTTGGTCTGTGGAAAAGAGCAGTTAATGTTTGTTTTATCTCCTTATTTCAATGGTTTGTACTTTTTCTTTTCTTAATTTCTTATAAATTTCTTTCTTTTTTCTTTCTTCCAATTTTACATACGTACATCTGGTAATATGAATAACTGGTTGGAAGACAACACTATGTATTACAACAAATACTGTGAAATTCATATTACTTTATTAAGTAAATTCTGTAATTTTTTGTTTTAATTCTAATTTGTATTCTCTTTAAAAAAATTTTTAAAAAAGAATTGTATGTTAGAATCAGAATTACATTCACTTATCTAACTCATTTTAGGGGTGAGTAATTGGATACCCCAAGTATCTGTTCCAATTCTTTAGGGACAGAGGCCTCAGGTAGCAATGTCTTTAGATCCAGAGATAGTGGTATGTCTCCCCTAAGGAGATGTTTCCCGTATCTGCTGAAAGATGCTGGCATAACCTGAGAAGGAATATGCTGGCATAACCTGAGAAGGAGTCTCTTGCATCACCTTCCCAGGGGAAGGCCCTGACGTGGCCTCCACAGTGGTCCTGAGCCGAATGTCCTAGTTATCCCAGTTCTGAGAGGAGGATGGTGATCTCAACGTACAGTGCAGAGCTTACATTTAAGCCTATTAAATTCAATTCCAAAACTGATAGTCAGTAACACGCTCGATGACAGGGTTATGAGTTGTGCTTTTTGCCAGATACAGTGGTGCGTGCCTGTAATCCCAGCACTTGGGAGGCTGAGACAGGAGTATCACTGAGTTCAAGGCCAGTCTGAGCTGCATGGCAAACTTAAGGCCAGTGAGAGACCTTGTATAGTGAGACCTTGTCTCAAAAATGTATTTTATGTAATTTCATTTTTTTGTTCATGGTTATCGTAACATTTTATCAGTAAAAAAAATATGAAAGTCCAATACTAATGATTTTAATTATACTCTTTTAGATGTTTTCTTTGAAGACATTAAATGTTTATTTGTGTCATTTTTATTTACCAAAATAACCTGTTTTGGGTTTTTTTTTTTTTATTTTTTCCCTCATCTCACAATAAAAATATTTCTGGTCTTTATTTTTCCTCCCTTTATAGCATAGTGTTTTATGGCACAGATTTAGATATTTTGATACAGTTCTAGCTTCAGGTATTCAAGAAATACTGATTCCTTCAGAATGGGATAATGTGGTGGGAATTCTGCCTTGGTATGATTTTTTTGTTGGTGGTGATGGTTTTCACCCAGTCCTTAATTTTTTGTTTTTGTTTTGAGACAGGATCTCACCAAATTCCCCAGACTGGGCTTGAATTTATGATCCTTCTGCCTCAGCCTGCTGCAGTGCTGGGATTATAGGCTTAGACTATCATACCTGGTTCACATGTGACGCTAAATTTATTTGGATTCTGAGATTATTTTAATTCACACTTAGTGATAGTGTAGCTTTTTGCTCATCAGTAAGGATGAGCTCATTTTCCTGCTTAAATGTTGTATTGGACTTCTGCAGTCAGATCCATTCTAGTAACCATGTTTAAACCATGCATATATTTCCTCCCTGTTTAAAGCAATCTCTGCTTAACTAGGTCTGTGAAGTAGTTGATCACTTATTGAGCATATCAGATCAACTCAAGGGTGTGGGTCTGTTTGGAATAAACTGTGGTTTTTTCATAAGTATTTGAAACTACTACAAAAACCAAATATTTGTGCTTAGGGGAAGAAGAGAGAAGTTGTGTTTGTGGAAGTAGTGAGAAGCTTTGAGAAAATTGGAGTACGTGGTTTCCCAGCAGTCATGTGGCCCACTTCATTTCACTCAAGTCCCTGAACAGGTGTCACCACTTGAGACAGCCCTTCTAAAATACATCAGCCACTCTCAGTGTCCCTTTGCCTGAGTCAGGCTTCTGACTGTGACTTCTTGTCGCCTTCTGTAATTATTATTATTATTATTTTTTTTTTGCATGATCTAATTTGTTGTGACATGGAAAGAAAAGACCAATTTTGTCTTCCCAGGGGCCTAGGATAGTACCTGTCACCTAGAAGGTATTTATTCAGAGTTAGGTATTGGACAATACAGTGAAGCAAATTTTTTCTGTAAGGGACCAGATATTATTTTAGGCAAGTGGGCCATCCATCCGTGTTGTGACGGCTCAGCCATGCTGCTGTAGCAGGAAGTGGCTGTGGATGTATGCACAGGCTATGACTGTGTTCCAATTAAACTTCATCCCCTAGTGTGCAGGATAAGAGAGCAGGTTCTCGAGACCATGCAGTGGGACTCCAGTTATAACTGGATTCCGAGGCCTTAGCAGGTGACACCTCTCTACCTCAAGAACTCACCTGTAAAATTGGTGCCTGCCTCAGAGGTTCAATGAGGTGATGACCAGTGGAGTAGGAGCATTGCAAGTTGAAGCCCAGCCTGGGCAATTTAACAACTTAGTGAGACCCTGTTTCAAAATAAAAAAATAAGAAAGGTCTGAGGGTATGGGGGTGACTGTAGGCAACTGTGGGGGTTAGAGAGGACAGCTTTCTTTCTGTCCTTTGAAAGTCAGGTTCAATTCCAGGAATGGAAGAAGGAAAGCAGGGGGGACATGGGACAAAATGGAGACCTTGTCAGCCACTTAGAAGAAGGGGATAGCAATCGAAAGGCTCTGATAAGAGTTCAGGATCCTACAGCCATGGAAACACCTCACTTTGTCCTGGAGGAAATTTACCCTCAGCCGTTTTATCACTGTCCAGGCCTCTGCTGGCTTGAGTTTTTTCTGCTGACCTCTCCTTCTTGTCTGTGTCCCCAACAGAGGAGGCAACCTGACACTTCTGCACTTCTTGTTGGGCTTGAAAACTGCAGCCAGCGATGAGCTGGTGGCCGAGCTGGTGGTGAACATCCTAAAAGTGTGCCCAGACCTGCTAAGCAAGTACTTCAAGGAAGTGACGTTTTCCTTTCTCCCAAGAGTGAAGTCCACTTGGTTAAATAATATCAGACTGCTTACCAAGGTACAAGACACAGCATTTCAGAAGCTGTAGGCGTGGAGTGTAAGGAGTGAGGAAAGGCTGGGCATCTGCGCTCACGGGCTATACAGTGATAAAGGGGATGTTTTTGATGATGTTGCTTGGGTGGCCTTGTCTCCTAAACAGATTCACTGAGCAAGATTTTGAGATTTATTCCTTTTGACTATGTAGGGCTGATTGAAATGTTTGAATTGTATAATTTTCTGTGTGTGTGTGTGCGTGTGTGTGTGTGTTTTAGCGAAGGGTCTATAGGGCGTTCAGGGTCTCACTACTAGATGGGACTCATAGTGATCTGCCTGTTTACAGCCTCCCAAGAGCTGGGATTACAGGTGTGCCACCATGCCCAGTCTCAATTGCCATCTCATTGCACCCGGGGGGCAGAGCTGGCTCTGGCACCAGGATCGAACGCCTGCTTGCAGGTGCTTTAATCCGCTGAGCTGTTCGGCCCGCCCTTGAATTGTATAGTTTTCAAAAGCTAGATTCAAGTCCTTAGAACATCTTGACATAGCTCTGATATTGGGTATGTTTGTGTAAGTAGATGTGTGTTAACTTCCATTCAGCCATAGACATCAGTGTCTCTCAGCTGTCAGTGGAGGTACAGGTTGAAATCCTTCCTCAAAATGTTTGGGGCCAGAAGGAAAGTTTCAGATGTTGGAGGCTTTCATGTTTTGAAATATTTGCATAGGTTTTATTGAGTAAGCATTTCTAATCTAGAACTAAATGCACAGTCTGCAATCCAGAATGCTTCACATTATGAAACTTTCTGAGCATGATGTCCTTTTGGTACTCAAAAGCTTTACATTATAGATTTTTGGATTGGAGATACTCAGCCTATAGTTCTTTGCCAGTAGTGCTTGGCTCAGTTGAGGTTTTTCTGCCTCTGATTTATGGCCTGCCTAATGTGCATGTGAAATGCTTGGGATTGTTTCCTTGTGCCTCAGTCTGGCCCTGGGGTTATCAGTAAAACTAGCTTTTATTCAGGTTTTTTTCAGAATTCCCCTAAGTGCCCACATGTGAAAGCCATAGCTGTAGCTCCTCTGAGAAGAAAAAAGGATTCCCTGCCCCTTGCTTGGGGAGCGGGGCCCTGTGATCAGCACCATCTAGGGAGCGGCTTCTGGCGCTGGCCACCCCAGCACTGGTTGGGGGCAAATGTGTGGTCTTTGCATCTCAGCTGCAGTCCTCAGTAGCTGTGTGGCCCAAAGGAAATCACTTAACCCCATTGCGGTCAAATTTTGCCTTCCACGAACTATTTTTAAACGTCAAGTGTCCCTACCCCAAAGGGCAGTCGTACTTTAAAAAGATAGCTTGATTTGTCAAGTGCAGGGTCATGGTGAGTGATACCCTTATTCTAGTGCAAGTCCAGCAGTAATTTGTCTGCCATCACAGGCCATAAGGGTGCCTCAGACCTCAGGCTAAGCTATGGTTTTGAGGTCACCGCTCTGATGGTGGCCAGACTGGTGACCTGAGTTACCTGTAACAAGTCTGATCTTGTCCTGCAATGAATATGACTTTTATCAGTATAAATTATTTGATTGGAGTGGCTGCACTATTGCATGTCTGTTTCTGGCCCCAACTAAATTTCTTTTCTCCTTTTCCTAGATCTATGAGGCCCAGCCAGAGATTTCTCGGGCATTTCAAACCAAAGAGTTTATCCCCTTGCCACGGCTCCTGGCAATGGTGATGGTGACCACGGTGCCCCTGGTGTGCAATAAGATCATGTTCACCCAAGCATTAAACGTAAGGTCATGGTGGCCCTGCTTCTTGAATTTCTGCCAAACCCTCTGGCTGAGAGTTTCAGCCTGGTTGCATTGGTTTATTTTCTCAGGGAGTCGCTGAGGCTTCTAAAGAGGCAAATACCATGTGACCTCATTTGGGGCAGGGACCTGGGACAGGAACCCAATCTTTCTGGGGATGGGTAGTGTCACACTGCATACCACTCTAGCAAGTGGCAGGGACATCTTGATCTCTCCATATGTCTCTACTCCTGGTTGAGTAGAGTGAAAGAATGTTAGAGTCTGGAGAAGGGAAATTCTTTTATTAAAAAGTCTTGTTAGTTTAGAATTCCTGGCCTGGGTAGACTGAAATTTTTCAATAAATCATTCTTTTGCTTTTGTTTTTAATTGTGCTGGGGATTGAATGTGGGGCATGGCACATGGTAAGCAAATGCTCTACCATTAGGTACCTTTCCAGCAAATCCTTTCTTTTTTGTCCAAGTGAATAGTGTTAAGATTTCTGGGGAATATTTACTTTGAGAATGAGCTGTCTTCACTCATTTTTGAAGAATACGTTCCTGGAAAAAAAATTGAGTTAAATTGTCTCATAATTTATTCACGAGATCCTAAGCCCTGTCAGAAGCCTAAGGCAGAGGGGTCTTGTGTCTTACCATAGCTTTGTGGGCTCTGATGAGCAGCTGTAGGCGGGTGACCCACTGGGGCTCTGGGCCTGCCAGCCACTTGCAGTGCAGTGGCCCTACCACTTTCCTGGGGAGACGAAGCAGTCACAGTACATCTTGTCCTTCTGGGCAGGCTGGGTTGTTACAGGACATCAGCAGGAGCAGGGTCAGTGTGGTGTGCTGCGGGGGCATGAATTGGCCTTGTGGTGATGGGTACAGTCACAAAAGTGATGTCAGCTCCTGGGACTACAGTGGAATTCTTTGATACCTGTCCAAGGTTTGTGCTGAGCCAGGTGGTGAGTGAGGAGGAGAAAAGAAGAGGCCTGTATGGTCTCAGCAGAAAAGTCTTTTGTTCTCTTTGCCAGATCATCATATGAAAACTTAGGACCTAGCTAACTTATCCATCTGTTTTGTGGGAAACAGCCATAATTCCCCAGAGGCCTACAGAAAATAGAAGTGAAAGGAACACATCAGGTGTACCTCCTTTGAAGGCTGTATTTGCTCGCCCTGCACTTACTCCTGGCAGCCTGGAAAATGAAAGGCTGACTTCAGTCCTGTCCCATTGTCGTCTACACACATTCCTGGAGGGCGTTCATCCTCTAGATAGATGGCTCCATGCCCTTTCTGGTGGCTGCTGTCCTGTACAGGCCCAGGTCATCAAGCCATAGCCTGTTCCCCTGTCCCCAGATGCCCTTGTGGAGAACTGAGGTGGTTTTCATATTCATGGGACTCAAGTGGAATGACAAGTTCTAGAGGCTGCAGTTAGGAAGTTGTTGTTTTCTTTTGTTCTTTACAGTGCTAAATGAAGAACTTCTGATAGCACATGTTTTAAATCAGAAAAAGAGCTAGTTTATTGTAGAAATGAGATGCTAGAAGGATTTGGGAGCAGGTCATTGAGCTCTGTGCTCCCAGCCCACTGGGTGTTACATGACCTCTTGTGGGGGGCTTGCCTTTGAGGGCATCGTGCGTTGGAGCCATTGTTGGCTTAAGGCATTACCTGTGTTCTTTCTGCTCAGGTGCCCAGCAGCCACATGAAGTAAGACCACAGCTGATTGCCATGCTGGGCACTGGGCTGTCCTAGCTATGGGACTAAAAGCCAGTCAGAGTCCTGTTTGTGTCTCCCTCACTATAAATACCCAGTACTCCAGCCAGGGTGCCCCAAGAGTTAAAGTTCATTGACTGACCATGTAAAGATGCATATCCTGCTTGAGTTGGGCTGGCAAGGGCCTGGGGTTTTGCGTTTCCTCCCTGCACTGGGCATTTCTGGCATAGTTGTAGTCCAGGAATGAACTGCCCCTGGCCGTGGCCTGAGCTCTTCCCTAATTTTTTTTTACTGACACAGGGTCTTGAACCCTGGTCTGCAGTCAGCAAGGACTTGGAAGACCATCCTAGCAGTCATCTGAATAGAAGTAGGAAAGTGTGTATGTCCCACTGATAGGAGTTGCTTCTTAACATTAGTTCATTTTCTGTTATTGTAACAAAATACCTGAAGCTGGGTATATATGAAGAAAAGAGCTTTATTTGGCTAACGGTTTTGGCAACTGAAAGCCTAAGATTGGGCAGCCTCTGTGTTCCTCTGTGGAAGACCCCCTGACTGTAACAACGTGGTAGAGGGGCAGAAAAGGACATAGCCATGTATGTGAGGGAGACCACATGGTGACATAGGAAGCCAGAGGCCAGGGAAGGCCAGTCCTGTTCCTGTTATAGCCACCCTCTGTAAAGAACTAATGGAGTCCCCTGAGAATTACACTAGGCCCTCTGGGGATAGCCTGCCATGATCTGAGCACCTCCTACATGCTGCACCTCTTGGGAATTCCACCTCCTCCTAGCACCGCCACATTGGGACTGAGCTTCTGTCACAGGAGCCCTAGAGACAGGCCATGTACACACTGTAGCAGCTGCTTACTGACTTGGAGGGAGTGCTCTGCACTGCAGAACCCGATGTGTTTCCTCGCCATCTATCTCTCCACCTGACGCTGAACATTAGTGTGGCGTGCCTGTGTTTGGGGTGGGTTCTGGGGAGGTCTTGCTGCTGTTAGTCCAGGTGCTCCACAGTAGCGAGGCGGTTGTCGTCAGAGAAGGCTTGCTGAAAAGGAAACCACTGTCGACTCCGTCTTTCCTAACTGTTTCTGGCAGCTGCTGAGCTCAGACACAGGACATCTGCATGGGCAAGGTCCCTGGGGGCACCTCTTGTCACATTGTAGAATCCAGCGTGGCTAGAGGGGACAAGAGGCAGTGCAGCACAGAGCTTTGGACCTCTGTCCACCTCGACATGCATGTGAATTGAACTTTTTTTCTCCCCAGCTGGATAGCACTTCGGTGAGACACACAGCTCTGTCCCTCACGTCCTTCATTTTGAAGAGAGCATTAAAAACTGTTGACCACTGCCTGAATAAGGAAGTATGGCAGGAATCGAACGTGTACACAGTGGCAGTGATGGAGGAATTTGTGCAGCTCTTCAGAGAAGCCCTGAGCAAGGTGAGCACAGTCGGACTTTGGGCTTTCCCTGTCCATCTCCCCACCAAGCACAGTAGAGGAGAGGGCCATCGTGGGGTGGGGAGAGGGGAGCAAGAGCCACCTCATTGGAGAGGCCAGCAGGCAGTTGTGCCATGGTGCCACACATGTGTCACACTTGGATGCAGTCCCAAAGTCTTAGAGCAAGGCAAGAATTCAGATGATGTCCCTGCTGTCCCCTGGGGACAAAAGCAGACCTTGGGCTCTGGTTGGACCTCCTGTCTCCTCACGGGCTGGTGTCATACCCCAGCTCACATCCACCCCTGGACCACAGAGGGGCTGGGTGACCCAGAAGCTCCTCTTCCTCCCGGTGGAGGCTGATTCTGCCTAGATCATACAGGACAGGTCCCCCCAGCTGGAAGTGTTATGTTCCACCAGGAGGAAGTGTTATGTTGACTCTGGTGAAGGAGTCTTCAAGGGTTTGGTTTTATTATCAGACCTGTTCATTCACTAAATCTTTAGTATCTACAGTTGTAGAAATTGTACTGCAGAACAGAGCTTGCAAAGGACGTTGAGCCTGCTGTCACTGCACCTTCCTGTGTCCTTTCCTGCGTACTCAGTGTTCACATAATTGACACTAATCCCCCTCGCACATTGCACTTCCCCTCTCCGGGTTTTGCTTCCTCTTACTGTGTTCAATTTGTTTCTGTTTGTTGTTTAATACAACTGATTTTTTTTGCTTTTTCCTATTCAGGTTTTGCCAGATCTGAACACTATTGTGTGGGTCTGGCAGTCACTTAAAAAGCAGGAGACAAAAGAAGATGATGGGAAAGGGAAGAAGAGCGGTGACAGCACTGCGGCTGCACACACAGCTCCCCAGTGTGGTGAGGGCTTTGAGGCTCTGGTGTCCCGCAGGGGTGGAGCTGACTAGCCACGTGCACTGACTCCTAGCTAGGAGGATCTCCAGGCATTCATGTTTCAGGGCCCTCGGCTGTATCCCATATCCTTTGATGTAGATTGAACTTAAATATCCACTAGAGAAGTGTCCAGGCATGTGTGAGTGCTGTGTATCCCCAAAGAGGTGGACACGGGATGCTGTCTGCTCTGGCCTTTAAATAGGGGCAGAGTGGGAGGCTCTTTCTTGCTCTGTGATTGAAATGGGCTACACAGTCCCCTTCATAGTACAAAGCGTTGACTCAGACTTGTCATTGTCCAGGCAATGGGCTTTGGAGCCTGAATTTAGATCCTCTGTGCCTTATGGCAGCCCCATGAGAAACCCCCTTGCTCAGATGAGGACGTGAAAACACAGACAGCAGCCTTAACCTGTCCAGGACTATCACCGCTGAGTGGGGCTGAAGCCTGGGCCCTTTGCACGTACCACATCCACACCTAACATCTCATCACTGCCCATGGCTTGGCTGCTTCCTTGATCAAGGTCCAAAAACACATTGTTTCTAATTCAAGCCATTTTTGTGGTTGCAGATGATGCAGAAACTATTCTTCTGAAAGCTGTCCTGCTCCAGGTTATATGCCTCTACCAAAAGGTGGTCCCTCATGTGGTCATGCAGTACAACTTCGACTTCAGCAAGCTCCTGAAAGGTGGGTCTTGGAGATGGCAGACCAGCCATTGCTGTCTCCTCCAGCAGAGATGACGGAGGCCTCTGTAAGCCAGACAAGCACTCAGGTGCTGAGGATCAGCAAGGCTGGGGGAGGGAAGGGGCTTACTTTGCTGTGGTGTTTGTGATCCTGCACCCTGATTAATTTTATTTGGACAAGTGTTTTTTAGTAGCTGGCTTTCCCTAAGTTAGATTGGGTGAGCATCAAGCATAAGCCATGAGTGTGGGGAGGACGGAAGCCAGTCAGCCCAAGTGATGTGCTATGGACAGTCCATGATTGGGCCACGGCATGTTTACTCTAAAGCTGTCTGCTTGGGGAACAGGTACAGAGACTGAGGCAGTGTTTGCTGTGCAGCTGCCCTTGGGTGATTTTGTCCATTTGCCTCCTTCATGTCCACAGGCATCATCTCTGAGCAGGGCCTTGGCCAGGAGGCCCCTCCCGTCCTGCAGCACCACATGCTGAAGGTGGCCCTGGAGCTGCCAGCCACCAAGTTCTTGTGGTTGAAGTCACAGGTATGAAGAGGAGAGCTCCGGTCTTCCACTGCTAGCTAGCCTATTGGGCTTGTTGGCTTTTTATCTTGACTCTTGTATTTTAAGATGTTTGTGGAAATAAAATACTCTTCCTCCTTTCTGCTCATCCTGGAAGAGTTTATGACAGAGATGGAAATAAACCCAGACTTAGCAGAGGCCTGTGTCTGCTGGAAGAGACCCTATATGTGACCTCAACAGTGTCCTGTAGATGACTTTAGAGAACATTTTGACCCAGAAGAAAGCTCAGGATGCAGCAGCTTTGCCTGTGTCATTTCACCCCAGTGCTGTGTCACTCTTGTCCTCTGAAGGAAAATAATCAAACAAGCGTGCCTTGGCTGTGTGCTTCTCATTTGCTCGAAGTATCTTTTCTAATGAGGTAGATATTACATAAGATTTTCATATGGAACCAAGAGTATGGAAATAGATGTTAACTTTTTTACATGTGATACTTCTAAAATGATCTAAGCATGCCATGACCCTAGGGTCTGTGTGTGTTATCCCCAAACCCTGTTTCTTTTTTTTTTTTTTTGTGGAACCAGGAATTGAACTCAGGCCCTTGTGCTTGCTAGGGAAGCACTTATTCCACTGAGCCATCTCCCTGGCCCCTCAAATCCTGTTTCTAAGGTTCTCTGCATCAGAGTTAAGGGTAGCTTGTCCTGAGGACTTAACACATGCCAGGTTGGACATGGGGACTTGTTTGGCCAAAAGACTGAACTGGAATACAGAGCACATATGATACTTCCACAGGGCCCCAGCCATGCGTGGGCACGCAGGGTAGGACCCAGTCAGTATTGCCCAGAACCCTGTTCCCAGCCTTCCACTGTACTTGCCTCACCCAGGAGGCAAGTTGGGGGGAATCACTGATTGGTTTTTTTCAGTCTTACTGAATTGGGCCAGTGGATCCTGATGATTAAGTTGGAAGATGAACAGAAGCCTCTTGATGTATAACAGCTGGTATTAGGACATTAACTTATAGACAGTGTTTCATAATGCTTGTGAGATGTGTCTGTTGGTGTGGTCTGCTGGCTGAGTTACCCCTGCACTTTCTGGTATTCGCCTCATCCTCACTGCTAAGGACTGCAGTGAAGCCACAGACCTGGCAGAGTACGGCCCAGGGATCCAGAGCTCTGTGCTCTTTGAGTCCTGTGTCTATAGCTTGGAAGGAAGCCTTTTTAGGCAGTAAGTATGTATAAGTAGTCAGTATGTTGACACCTGCATCCTGATAGAATGCAGCCAGTGCAGCCTCAGAAGGGTCAGGCGCCCCTGGGTCCCTCCTTGCCAGCCGCTAGGCTCGAAGTATCTGCACCAGAACGCGCTGGGCCTGATTCTTGGGAAATGGCCATTACCTTTGCTTGCCTCGGTTTTCAAAACATGAGCCAGAGTAGGTGTCAGTCTGGACCCTAGGACCTCGCTGGTGCATGGAGAAGATCACTATGAGTATACCCTCAGCAATGCTGGGCGTTTTTGAGTGAGTGACATGACTTCTGCCGTTCCTTGTGTCTGAGAGCAGTCATTTCGCTGAGTGTCATTTAAACAAGATGAGATGGGGACCTGGCGGTGTATTGGCCACGTAGTCACCTGTCTGCTCAGCAAGCGATGGCCCTCCTTATTTTTTACAATACATAATTATTTACTGAAATTATATATATATATGAAAATAATTTTATATTAAAAATATGTAATAATGTTCAAACCCTAGGAAGGCCCAGGCACAGAAATTATTGGAGGAGAGCGATCCGTGTTCTATTTGCTAATGAAAATGTTTGTGACCAGTAGCCACTTACAACTCAAGTCATCCACCAAACTCCTCATTGTGAAGGTGAGCATTTTCTGCCAGTGTCAGATTCTGAAAAGCATTGCACAGGTTTTCCTAATAGTAGGTACTTACTACATGGTTGTTGAGTTCAGGATATATCAAGACTATTGTAAATTTCAATCAGAAGGTTTTATGGTACTTTTTCGTGTACCTTAAATTAAGTTTGATTCCTGAGAGATTACACTGTGAAGTAGATGAAAGCATTAGCTTTCAAATCTGATTCTTCGGGCCGGCCAAGTAGCTCAGCATAATAAAGTGCCTGCAAGCAGGCTCAGGGGCCGAGGGTTTGATCCCCGGGCCTGCTGAGTTGACCCTGCCTCTGGGGTGCGCTGAGGTGGAAGTTGAGATGGGACAATTGAGACTGGGCATGGTGGCACATGCCTGTAATCCCAGCTCTTGGGAGGGAGGCTGTAAACAGACAGATCTCTGTGAGTTTGATCTAGTAGTGAGACCCTGAACACCCTGTAAGCCCTTCCCTAAAATACCAAAAAAAAAAAGATATCAAATCTGATTCATGGATTTTTTTTTTTTTTTTTAATGTCTTTTTGACACAGGGTCTCGCTATACAGCTCAGGCTGGCCTTGAGCTCACTTTGTAACCCAGGCTAGTCTCAAACTTGCAGCAATCCACCTGCCTCAGTCTCCTGAGTGCTGGGATTACCAGTGTGTGGCACCACACCTGACTGATTCTTGGATTTAAGTCCTGGTTTTCATCTTTTCTGAATGACTTTGGGCAAATGACCAGTTTGTCAGAACTGAATTTCCCACGGTGAATGCAGATGACAGAACCTCAGAGTGGCCCCGGAGACCCGATAGGGGAAAGAGGCAGCTGGGGCTGCATACACCAAGGCCCAGCACCAGAGCGTTTGTCCCCTTGGGCCTGGCAGGCAGCTTTGCGTCTTCCCTCTTTCCCAGACTTGGGCGCGTTCAGCCTTTATCACCTTGTCCATCTCCCAACACAATGTGGCCAAGGTCAACAGGGGACAGTGAGGACTTTGCTTCTTCCTTAACACACTTCTCACTTTGCGAGAGCCGCAGCAGGTCTGGCTGTGGGGAATTCCTTCCTCAGTTCTGTTGTACAGCCAACATTTTGGGCAGTAGGGTGCTACAGATACTATGTTTGCTCTTTCTCGGGTGCAAAGACAAGAGAGACCCTTGTCCTGGTGAAGGGCTGGTGATCTCGCTCTTCTCCCCTGAGCCGCTTGAGGAGCATGGCTGCGTGAGCCTTTGCCTCAGGCTGCTTTTCCTTACATGTAGCACTGCAGGATCAGGTGCCAGCCACATGTCCTGACAGCCAAATGCCAATAGGTGGAATCGACATGGTTGGCACTGTTCAGCACATGCTGTTGCAGGACTCTGTGCCATAAGGCCACTTACGGCGTAAGTCTGTCTTCAGGCCATTAGGGGATGTCACTTAATTGCTCAGCCCTGCAGCTCAGATTCTGCCTCAAACTGAAACCTGCTCTGGTGGGAATGGTGTGCTGCTTGCCCTGCCTGATCCTCAAGGTACACAAGGAATGACATGGTGTGGCAGGCTCCTGACCTTGGAGAACTTCCTGCAGCCGGAAGGTTGAGTTGCTGTGAGGGTCAGGCCATGCACGTGTAGCTGGGTCTTTGTGAAAATCCACAAAGCCAGCCCTCTGGAAGAGGAATGGGTAGCTGCTAGGCAAGGGATTGTGTTGTGTTTACAGCGTTGGCGGCTCGGTCACCCCTTCCTGCTCCTGGGTCTCTGTGCCCTGGCACAGTGTGGAGCTGGTGCAGGCTGTGCTGACAGTTGTTCTGCATCTGCTCACTGCAGATTCTGCGGGACACAGGTGTGTTTGAATACACCTGGAAGGAGCTGGAGCTCTGGCTGGAGCACCTGGATAACACTTCGCAAGACAGCAGAGAGACCGTGATTCAGTTCCTGGAACGCGTAAGCACAGGTTACCCAGATTTCCCACAGAAAGGAGCATGTCTTGGGGTGACTGTGCAGGCCTGTGCCTCTTTGAGGCACTTTGGATGCAGTGATGCCAGAGGGCCTTTTGCCCTGCCACACTTCCTGATCCTGCTGCAGTGCCAGAAGCCACTTGGCGTTAGAATCTATGTTGCTGCATGTTTTCAAGTTCTTTTTTGGGAATTTGTTTTTGCATGATGGAGTGGGATACAACTGTGTTAAAAGCAGTAGTCTACTAAGAGGAAATAATTTTGTAAATAATAACAAATCTTTGCAGTGAAATTGTTGTTACTAAGAACATCTAACATTTTAATGCTTCCCTTGACAGTGACCAGTGACCTTTAGCCTGCCCCTTTTCATTCACTTGTAACCATGTAAATGTTTTCCACTCGGCTCTTGAATGCCCAGGTTTTATTGACCCTGGTGGCGAATCCCTACACGTATACAGATAAAGCGTCTGACTTTGTCCAAGAAGCCAGCACTCTGCAGGCCGCTGTGAGCAGGCAAGACACTGATGACACCAGCATTCCCATCTCCCACATTGATGGTAGGCACCACTCCTTTCTGTGCTGCCACCTAGCAAGGGAGACCCAGAGAACAGGAGTGGCACTGAGGCTCTGGGCAAAATGCAGATACCACATTCCTTTGTGTCAAAGGTCAGCCTGTTCTAGAATCTTTGTTTGTGTTATGAGAAATGTGTATAGAATTTACTCTGGGTTGCCTTAACTTGGTAATATTTACTCTGTGCCAGGTGCTTTGTAAACTTTTTATAAATGTTATTGCCTGTAAACCTCATAAACAGCTCTGAAGGAGGAAGGTATTGTCCATATCTCTGAGGCACAAAGAGGTTAAATAACTTGCTCAGATTCACATAGTTACTGTGTACAGAACAAAGTCAAGATTTGAAGCCAGACTCTGGCTCTGTCTAGTCTGTGCTCTCAGATCCCTTAGCTTGTCTGTCTGCATATTCAGGTTAAAGTTGAAAGACTTCACCACTTCTGATGTTCTGCAGTTTGTCAAAGATTATAGAGATCTCTTCACCTGTTTAGTGTCAAACCATATCAAGCATTTTATCCCAAGAAGTTTAGATTTGTTTTATTCTCTTTCATGCACATATTTTCTCATTCCCCCTTTTCCTGGGAGTGTTGGCAGTGGGGTCGTTTGTTGTTGTTTGCCTGAGCAAGACTGGACTCCCCTCTGTCTCAGATGTGCTCGACATGGTGGATGTCCTGGTGGAGGGGAGCGAAGGCCTGGATGAGGAGATTGGGTTCTTGCTGAGTGAAGACATGATTCTCCTTACGTTCCCATTCAGTGCCGTGGTTCCTGCAGCCCTGGAAGCCAGGAATAAGTTACTCCTTGGGACAGAAAGTCAAGCAGGTACCTGTACAGCATCAGGACATTCTGGCTGAGTCGGGCTGGTGAGGCCTTTTCTGCGTGTTCCCGACATGTTGATGCTAAGAGGGAATCTTTCATACATGCTGGGTTTTCCAGGCAGCTTAGTCCCAGGAAGCAGCTGCAGAGCACAGTGGTGTGGTTAGTGGGGGCTGCAGGCTCTCTGCCCCCTCTTGGCATGGTCTGATGAGTATAGGTCTGCTTTCTGCCCTGTCATAGCCTTACACAGGCCAGGGTGCCCTTCTGTGTGCTGTCCTCCAGAAGGTGGCTCCGGGCTCGGGGCTGCTTCTGTTGTATCACCTGACTGTCTCAGCATGTGGCTTCCAGGCTCTGTTGTGGCAGGGAAGAGAATGCACAATGGAGCAGGCTGTGTCACAGCCTGGAAGGGACAAACCCAGGCAGGCACATGGTCCCATCCTCCCTGCCAGAGTCTCGTGTGCCAGGGCAGAAGGGAGGAGTTTGCGAATGCTTAACAAGACCTAGGTCCTGGTGTTTGGGCCTTACCTCTTACACACCTCCATCCGACTACTATCTGACCAGGTACTGACTATTTCATAATATAATCTCAGCTACTCAGGAGGCTGAGGCGAGAGGATTGCACATTCAAGGCCAGCATGGGTAGTTTTCAAGATGGTAAGAACCTGGCTCAAGAAAGGGCTGAAGGTTCATTTCAGTGGTGGAGTACCCTTGGTTTGATCTCCAGTACCATAATAAACTAAAATGAAATAGAGTAAAGCAGAGCCTAGGACGGTGTGTGGAGGAACCCACCTTCCCACGTGTGTGTGCAGCCCTTTGTGGAGGTGGCATGAATGTCTCTGGGTATCACATGTGTGCGGAAGGAGGCAGTGTCAGTGGATCACAGAACGGTTTCCAGCAGGCTTCTTCCCACATGCATGCTGTCCTCTTCAGGGGAAAGCATCGTGGCCTATCTGACAGCGGTGCTGACTGACCTCCTCCACACCCAGAGGGACCCCTTGGCTCTGTGTCTTCTGCTCCAAGCTTATGACAAGTTTCAGCCTCCAGGCCCGCCTTGCTGCCAGCTGCTGTCCCGGTTTAACAGCTACTACAGTCTCTGGATCCCGGAGCAAGCCCGAGAAGCCTGGGTGAGCCATAGCCATAACCACCTCTGCAGAGCTTCCTCCCATAGGCTGCAGCTGGCCTGCCCTGGCTGTGTGGCCAGAGTGCTGTATGGCTCACAGGGAGTGGTCTTAATCTTCAGATTTCCCTGTGTAGGAGAGGAAACAAAGTTGCCTCACCTCGGTTCAGGTTCAGCCTGAGTGAAGGGAACACACAGGAGTTGGTGATAACGCCAGAATTAAATTTTCCACTGGGCCTGTGATGATAATTGGCTGATCCTTGCCTCAGCTGGAGGCAAAGGTTTAGTCTTTTTCCATCCCAAATGGCTTATGACGCCTGCCTCACAGCTCTCGCTTCAGGCCTTAGTGCGTGCCTGGACTCAGATACTTAGCTCCCAGCAGGCTCCTTTCGGCTGAAACAGACAGTGCAGGGAGAAAGAGTAATCTTTTGGTGGAGACTGCGTTCTTGTAGTGGGCTTCTGGCAGCAATTAAGAGGACTTACTGATGCTCTGTAGGGCCAGAAAGATCATCACTGTGGGCATTTTTGTGAGTTCATTCAGTTTCTGCATACTGGAAAGCAGATAGCCTGGCAGTAATGGCAAACCTTTCAGAACTTTCAATGATAGCAGCGAGGTTTGCCACACTGGCAGAGGGCCTTTGTGAGTGGGCAGTGTTGGTGGTATTTCTGTTGGTTGCGCATGCCAGGTCCCCACACTAAACGCACTTTGTGTATTTGAGCTCTTTTTCCTCATAACTCTGAGAAGTAGATCAAGACTCTACCCACCCTTTGCACACATGAGGAAACCGAGGCACAGAGTGCTTCCCCTGCCACTTTGGGGTGGTCAGGACTTACTCCAGGCTGCTTGGCTCAGAGCCAAGCCCACTGTCACCTTTCTTTGCACCAAGGCCTGGGTGTGGAGGTACTGGGAGCTCAGTGCTGCCCCACCTGGTGCTCAGGTGTCCTGGCCACCCCCTTTGAGTATATCATAGCATTTGTTCTCATCCTTCAGGTGTGTGGCTGTTTCTGGAGGCTTGTCAAACTCAGCCATTGGTCCTGACCCCATTTTCTGAGCCAGCAGTTATGGGGTAGAGCCCGAGGACCCCCGGTCCACACTTTGAAAACCATTGGGTCCAAAGACAGCCTTGAGTTTATTAGTTACCACAAGTTCAGGGGAGTTGTGATAATATAAGCCACATGGGGTAAATAAGGAAGACTTTTGCAGTTAGGTTAGAAGAAACCAACTACAGAGTAGTTCCAGAAATTTCTTTTCGCTTGGCCCTTGTTTCCCATCTTCCTGGCAAGACAGTCTAACAAGGTTCCTGGGAAGACCACCAGCTCTCGACATGGGTCCTCTGGAGCTGTGGTTCCCCTGTCTGGGACTTGTCACTGGCTCCTGTTGTTAAGCTGGATCTGTGTGGCTTGTGGCAGGCTCTAGTCACAGTTCCTACTTGTGCCCTTCACATTCTGTCAGCATGGAGCACTTGAGGGAAATGGGTGAGCCTGGTGGTTTCGGAGCTGAGTGTACTTCAGTTAAATGCCGCATAGCCGCATTTTTAGTCTTAGGCATGATTAATTTGACCATTGCCGTGCACATCACTTCAGGTCTGTTACAGCCTGTGCAGTGTTTCCATCCTGGTGATTTGCATTTTGCCCCCCTGTCTTGCCATCTCCCTCAGCCTCTGCAGGCATCCAGCAGTTCCACGCCTCACATGCCCACCTTGGCCTCTGGCTTCTCCACCCTGCTGCAGACGGCCTACGAGAGCCGGACACTAGGAGATGAGCACATTCAGGAGCAACTCCAGGCTGCCATCGAGTGCCTCCCCCTGCACCGGGCCCTGTGCTCCGCCAAGCAGGTGCTGCTCTACATCAGGAGCACTGTGGAGAACTTCCGTCAGGTCAGCACCTCCAGTTGAGCCCATGCTCCCACATTCCACCTCCAGAGTGGACTTTTCTGAGCTGGGACAAGACTTCTGATGGCCCTAGGGCCATAGGACAGCCGGTAGCTCAGGAGCTGGGACTCACAGCTGTCTACCATTCTTCCCTGGTGCAGATGGGCAGAGGCAGCAATGCTGTTCTCTCCAGACCACTGTGCCCCTCAGCAGTGACAGACAGGGACCCACACATGGCCTCAGTGTGTTGTGGGGCTGTTCACAGTCAGGGCAGGGCCCCTCCTATAGTGGACTAGATCAACAGACATGCCAGGCTTCCCTCCTCCCGTAGTTTCTTCATCTGGTACTCGGCTGAGCTCTTCCCTGGAGTAGTTCATAGATCTTTGGGTCAGGTTTTGAAGTTGGCTTGTTCCCCTCATTTCAACTAAAAGAAGCTCATGCAGTTCATCAAGGTTAGGAAGGCAACTCTCACTTGAGAGGCAACTCAGGCTGATTGGTGTTCACGAAAATGTGTGAAGGAATGGCCCTCTCATCTTGATCGTCGAGTCTCTTTGTTGGTCACCCCAGGGCTGGCAGGGACTGTTCTGGTGCCCGTTAGCCCTTCCCTGTCTGATGCCCATGATGCCATGCTGCTCTTGTCTCCACAGCTGGGGAGAAATATGGGTCCACCACTCCTGCGCCTCTTCCTGGATCTCCTTACACGCTTGGTTGTCCGCTGTGAGCAGCTGGATGCTCAGAATCAGCAGAAGTGCAAGGCTGCTCATGCTGAATCTGACCTCTTTTTAGACATGGAGTCTGTTGCCTCCCTGGAGTTGGCCAATGACCAGGTACCTCTGCCCTCTTCCATAGACAGCCCATTACCTTTTTCCTGGAAGAAAAATGTGCTTCTGATTACACTTTCACTGTGAGCACACACAGACTGAAAGCCACCTGTAGCACCCCACATGCACCCTGGCTACGTGGGGCTCAGCCTGGACATTCATCTTCCCAGGTGCTCCTCAGAGTCCTGGACCCTCAGGCCAAGCCTGGTGCCAGGAACCTCAGGAAGCCAGTGTGTCTGCTTCCTCTCCAGGAACTCAGCCTATGCTGCCCTGGAAGGCAGTGGGAAGCTGTCACCTGCTCATGTGCATGAGAGAAAGCCTTTCTTTGCTAGTCTTGTGCCACACACCACTTCTCTGGGCCAGGTGGATGTTTCTGTCACCATGTGCCCTGTGACTGCTACTGGTTCAGGAAGCAAGCATGTTCCTCATCGAGCCCTTCTGAGTTAGCCGACTTTCTTCCTTTGGTCTCCCATTAACTTCCTGGCAGTCAGTGTGTTGGGCAGGCCTCCTGTTGGCTGTGTGACAGGCAAAGCGGGCCTAACAGTGTGCTTCTCTACTTCTGAGGGGCAGGCTGATGGGCTTCTGCCCTTTCCTTAAGCAAAGTGAAATAAGGGAACTCATTCGGTCCCTGCAGATTGAGGGTACTTCCTGTCTAGCGCTTGCATTCAGCCAGATCATGGAGGACAGCAACGTCAGGTTACTCTGACCACCCAGTGAAACTCAGCACTTTCTGGCTGGGTGGTTGAGCCCAACGAGTTTCTTGGAGTCACCGTAGGCACTGTGTTTCTCTGAAAGTAGAGCTAGGAATGCCTTTAGTTCAGGACCATGGCTATTCAAAGTGCTTTAATCCCTGTCACCTTCCCAGACATGTGGTCTAAACTGTGAGCCTAACCATGTTGCTCCTCAACCAGATTCATGAGAGAGGGTGAGGCCGCCAAAGTGCGAAGGAGGTGGCCCATCTGCATCGCACTTTGCCGATTCTGGGTGACCCTTCCCTTTGTTCCCTGCATTTTGCACGGGGAGCAGTTTGCCACACAATAGTTCTGTTCAGCTGGAGTCATCACACACATGCTTGTGACTCTGAGGAGTCACTGCACCCTGTGTGGCCTCCGCACAGGAAAGGTGACACACAGGGTGGCAATTGCACAGTGTGGTCATGGGGCTAGATTAGGAGAGCCGTCTCCCGCTCTGTCTTGCTGACAGCAGGAGTTGCTCCCTGGTGGCTACAGCCTCTCCCGGCTCAATGCCGCTCCTGAAATCTGTCACCGTCCATCTTTCAGACGCTGGAGGAGGTGCTGGTGGCCGTCTTGAGACACCCAACCCTGGAGGGCTGGTTTCTCGCCCTGGAGCAGCAGGCCCTGCCCCAGCATGCGCTCAGCCCTGTCCTTGTGAAGCTCCTGGCCGCCCAGTTCAGTGCAGGTGTCCTTCCGTTACTGGTGGCCAGCGCCCCGATCCTCCAGAACATGGGGCAGCTGGGCCTCCTGGCCAAGTACTCGGAGGCCATCACACAGAGCGTGTTGAGGGAACTGCATGCCAGAAGCACAGGCCGAGCTACCTCGCCACCAGAGTCCCTGCCACAGCTGGAGGCCCTGCAGAAGCTGCACCCGTACATGGAGGGTGCACAGCTCCGCAAGGTCACGCTGGCCCTGCTGGCCCTGCCTGAGGCCCACCTGCTGATCCAGCCATCCACGGAGGGCCCCAGGAGGATGAGACAACTGAGCGTCTTCGCAAGGACCCTGGCGCAGCTGCTGGTCAGCAGCCTCCAGGATGAGCTGCCGAGCTGTGAGCTCTGGTTCTCTGAGTATGTGCGTGGCTTTGCCGCTCTGCTCCCTGTGCTGGCTGTGAATGAAACGGACGTTGTGTTCCTTCACATCCTACAGAGAGACCCCTTGCTGGCTCCTGTGGTCTCAGCGGACCTGTTCAACTACTGCCTGGCCCGGCAGACACAGGCAGCCCTAGGCATCGCCACCCTGCTCCTCCAGCACAGCTACACCCACCTGCTACAGTTTGAGTGCTGGTGCAGCCGGGCTGGGGCAGGGCGCAGCCTGCAGGAGGACCTGGATGACTTCCTGCCCCTCATCCATGTGTACCTCCAGCGCAGGCCGCAGGGGCACTTGGCATGCCCAGCAGGAGGTATGCATCCAGGCACCCTGGGAGCTTCGGGTCGGGATCTGAGGAGGAGAACTGCATACCAGTTCTTAAACCCTGCACTTCATGCTCTGGGGCGTGGCTGAGTTTTTTCCACCAACATCCGACCTGCTCTGGAGCTTGGGAAAGGCTGAGGAAGTCTCGTCTTGCCTCTATCTCTCAGCTCCCCAGGGCCCTGTCAGTTCCTTTTTCCTGTGTGAAGCTGCAGGATCACTCAGCTAAGCTGTTCCTCTTCACTTCTCCCTGCCTGCAGGGTACACATTGGGCAGTGCAGGTCCAGCCTCCTCTCCTTTCCCTGCTGGGTTTCAGATCTTTTAAATTACCTCTAAGTTAATTTAATTATTTTTCTTTTTCTTCCCCCCCCCCCCCAATGGGGGATTGAACTCAGGCCCTTGGGCTTGCCAGGAAAGTGCTTATTCCACTGAGCCATCTCCCCAGCCCTAATTTTTAATTCTTCTTCTGAGGAGGGCCCTGGGGATTAAACTCAGAGCTTTTATGCTGAGCTACATCCCCAGGTCTTTTTTCATTTTTCCTTTTGAGAAAAAAATTATATATTGCTCAGGCTGGGCTTGAACTTGTGGTCTTCCTGCCTCAGCCCCAGAGTGCTGGGATTACTGTGAGAGTGTGTGTGTCCCTCATGCTTTGCTCTGTTTTGCATCACTTTGTCATATTAGTAGGAGATGCTTTAAAAAACCTCCTCCCTCAGGCAAGAGGTAACTGACCGGAGTTGTTGACACAGCTCTCGGTGACCTTACTGTCCTGTGCTTCTGGAGAATGAATCTCACAAGAGTTCGGGATTCATAGTATATCTGCAGGTGGCTAGGGCTGTGCACAGAGCAGTCTGGGCCCAGTGCCTGTGAATATTTAACAGCTGGCCCCTGGAGGAGACTGTGTAGCAACTAGCAGTTTTGCTGGTGCTGATGCTCCTGCCCTGGCCCATTTCAATGCCAGAGCGCCATCACAAGGTCCCAGAATATGTTAGCACACAGCAGGCCACTGCTGAGTGGTCCATGCTGCCTCAGCCCACCATTGTGCACAATGACCACTGCTCTGTGTCTACCCTAGTGTCCTCTGCTGTCATTCCTGTCCTGAAGAAGGCCCTGTGGAAAGAGCTACGAGACAGGCTCTTCAGGACTAATGGTCCTCTAGAGTCAGAGCTGCTTCAGGAGGTCCTGGCCCAACTACTCCCATTTGCCAGAGCCAAAGACCTCCGTGTGCTCATGGACCGTTTGCCCGGCTTGCTTCTGGCACCAAACAATTACAAGAGGTAAAAGGCCACGGTCGCTGGGTGCCCTCTGAGCTTCCATGTTGCTCCTTCATCTTGATAAGCAAGGTGGTAAAAGATGCTGCCGTCCAGTTGTGCTGTGTGTGGGAAGGCAGTTAGGATGAAAACTCTGCTTCCACCTGTCCTGGCTGGAGCGAAGACATTTCTGAGAGGGGACACTTAGTCTGGTTGCCTGAGAGCAGTGCTTGCCAGGGTGTATGGTTTCTGCAGGGATGGCTGGCAGTGTCTGAGTTTGCTTATCATCATGGCCGAGGCCTGGGGCATGGCCTCTGGCATCCAGAGAGCGGGTGGGGGAGCTAGGTGCCACCCTCCACAAGAAAGAATTATCTTGCTCCACAAGGCACAAGTGCTGGGGTGGAGAGGCCCTGAGCTGGCGAGCTGGATGTGCACACCTTTTCCTGGTGTGCCAATATAGCTGGCTCTGAACATTCTGGGACCTCTTCGACGTGTAAGTTAGGAGCCCATGGGTCCCTAAATGGACAGACTCAGGAGCAGGACTCAGGGCAGCTGTCCCATACGGGGCTTTGCAGTGCTGGAGGATAGCCTCGTCCTAACTCTACAACTCTGGTCTCCTGTTGCAGTTGGATGGTGGCAGACTCTGTCTCAGCAGCCCTGGAGGGGTCCGTGGGAGAGGTGAACACCTGGAGGAAGACCCTCCTGCAGTCCTGTGTGCAGTGGCTGGTCATGTCCTTCAGTGGCGGCTCCGCAGGCCTTTGCAGCATCCAGGACCAAGAGAAGCAGATGCTGCTCAGACTAAGCGAGTTGTTGGTAGGTGTCCCTTACTGGTGATCCCAGTTATATTTTCAAGGACAGCCAGGTAGACAACTCAAGCTTTCAAGGTACATTTCCAGCCATTTGAAATGAGGATGACCCAGTAGGAAATGAGAAGGGCTCTGTCTGGGGGCAGAGAGGCAAGTCAAGCAGCTGAGAATTAGCTTTCTTCTCAAGAACGGAGGCCACTTTTAGTCAAATACTTTACTGAGATGTTACAAAAGATCATGTGTTTTGATTAGTCTATTAATAAGGTAAATTATATTAATTGAATTTTTTCTTCAGAATTGAACTCAGCACCTCGAGGTTACCAGGCAGGTGCTGTGCTGCTGAGCTATGCCCCCAGCTCAACTGATTGTTGAATGTTAAACCAATCATACATTTTTGGGACAAATGTACTTGCTCAGGATGTAGTACCTTTTTATATATTGTTGGATTTGACTTGCTACTATTTTGTTAAGAATCTTTGTTTCTGTGTGTATGAGGGATATTAGTTTATGATTTTTTTAATCTGTGGTGCCTTTGATGAGCTAATGCCAGCCTCATAGAACTAATGGGAATATTTTAAAGATGTTACTTTACTGTCTCCTGGCTTTGTTTCCACTAAGAAATCTGTCACTCGCGTTTTTGCTCTTCTGTGTGTGTTCTGATGCTAGGCTTGAACCTAGGGCCTCGCACATGCGAAGCGGGTGCTCTCCCTCCAACTCCCTGGCTCTAGGATTTTTTTTAAAGCATGGTTTAAAGCTATTTGGTTATGATGCACCTTACTACAGATTTTTTTTTCCTCAAGTTGTTTGAACTTGGAGTTCAGTGGTCCACTTGATCTGTGGTTGATAGTTTTTATAAAATTTAGGAATACTTGGCCATTGTTCCTTCATATTAAAGTATCCTCTCTTCAAAATGTTGTATTTTTACACAGAAATAATTAACTAAAGTTAGCCTAAGTGTGTAATCTCCTCACCTCATAGTGTAAAAGTTCATTCGTAGTTCTAGAATCTGACTTAAATTTAATCTCTGGATCCAAGACTTAAAGTAATCCTTGAGAAAATAACTCCAGATAGTGAAAAAGGATATGGTAGATACACTTGCAGATCATAGACCAGGCTGTGTTCTTGCTCCGTTATTAAGTTTTATAAACCAGTAACTTTTAGACTTAATTGCTGTGTAGCAGGTTTATGGATTTAGTGTTCAATGAACCTAAACGTGGAGAAGTAAGAGAGGGGAGGATTGTGCCTGAGACTGAGAGAGCTGGGCTGTGGAGGTGGGTGGTGGATCCCTAGGAATGTTCCTGCCGGCCTTCACGGGCAGCACCTCTGCCTGGCCACGTGGCTTATTCATCCAGTGACAGTTGATGTGTTAAAGATTGATCTCCCTTTTAGTCCCTTGTTTAATTGAGGCATAGGGTTTGTGAAATGCAGTATTTAAGTATCACAAGTACAGAGTTTGTGTTCCCGCATACTCCACCCTCCTGTCCAAGATTTTCATCTCAGGAAGGTCCCTGTACTTCCCAGAATCCCCCTTGCCCGAGGCACTCCAGTATCATTAGGTTAGTGTTTCTGCTCTGGACTTTCCCAGATTCCTGCAGAGCAGTCATACTCTCATATGTTCCAGTTAGGTTATGCTCTCCAAACTCAGCTGTTGGAAGAATAACTAGTTTGCTACTTTTGTTGCTGAGTCATCCTCTGTCATTTTAATTTGACCTTCCTGTTCTAACCCCATGAAAATTTGGAAATATTGGGGTTTTGTGATTATAAAGCTAACATATGCATTAGTAATATAAGCAATGCAAACAGTATAAAGAAAGCAGAATGTTTCCATCCCCTAGACCCATCCCATGGTAAGAGGGTGAGTGTGCTTCCAGGGATCTTGCTGTCTGTGGCTACGCATGTGTGTGGGGCATGTGAGTGTGTGTAGCTAGGTTTGGGTGATACTTGTTTAGTTTTGTTTTTAACATAATACCATATTTTGAGGTGTTGTTTTTACCCCCACTGAACTACTTTAACTTGGTAGTCGTGCTGTGATCTCCTCAGGAGATGAACATGTATCACTGGACCAGCTTCCTTGGTTTTTGCCCTTGTGAAGAGGGCTGTGATGAGCCACGCACGGCTCATCTTTGCCTCCACTGGTTACTTCCAGGGGAATTCGTGGAGGAGCCTTGCCAGAGCCTGAAGAATGTGCCAGTGGAAGCTGGCTGCATGGCCCCCCATCCCTGGTGGCGCTGAGGTCTCGCTGCAAGGCTGCCTCGGGGAGGCAGGCGCTGTCCTGAGCCAGTCTCTGCACCAGCGCCAGTCCCCAGGCCCTCACTTGCTCCTGTGACCTGGGACTGAGCAGGGTGGTTCAAGCGTGGTTTTCATTGGCTGGTTAATAAGAGACTAGCTGCAAACCCATTCGTGCAGTCTGAAAACAAAGGAAAACATAGCAGGACCGCTTAAGAGGCGTCCTCTGCCCACTTGGTGAGCACAGCTGTGCTAATAAAATGTCAGCGCTACTAGGAGAAATCACCAGTGCTTAAAATTTTTAAAAAAGCAAACCCACACACCATAACACTGCATGCTGTGGTGGGTTATTTGATTAACTTTCTATCTTCTTTTGTGGTAATTGCAGTCAAAACCACTAGCACTCTACATTGAGCTACGTCCCCAGTCCTTTTTTGAAATGTTTTCTTGTGAGACAGGAGCTCACTGAGTTGTGTAGGCAGGACTTGAACTTTCGATCCTCCTGCTTCAGCTTCCCAAACTGCTGGGGTTGCAGTCATGCACCACTGTGCCTGCTGGCTGTGTTTCTTCCTTACTGAGTGGCTCTAACTTGTTTCATAGTCTACGTGTTAGTTTTTAAGGTCAGTCAGGCTGTCCCATACTCATCAGGAATGGGACAGAGTTGCTGCTGGGCAGGGTCCCAGCCTGGAGCCCCAGGGGTGGTGTACAGCTCTCTTTCTCAAGCTGTGGACCATGTATCTTACTGAGGAAGGTTCAGACTGAGAGAGGCAGAGGCCTTCCTGAAGATTGTGCAGCTGGTGCCTTTCCATATTTCTCAAAGGTGTGGAGGGAGATGTCTCATATGTGTTTGCTTTATTTGTAGCATGCACTTAATGACATTGATCCTGATGACTGGCAGAAATTCATGAAAACTGGACTCAAGTAAGTAGACTTGTTTGCTCAGTGCCGTCTGCAGAGTGTAAATGCCAGTGATCATGCAGAGCCCCTTTTGTAGCTTGTTATTATATTACATGTGGCAGAACTAGGTGTCACCTCAGTTTTGAGGTGGAAAATGAGGACTGTTTGACACGTTAAATGAGCGATAAATATCATAGAATGGGGACATTTTTTTCTGCCTTTGATTAATTGATATCTCTGGAGTCTCGCTTTGTATCTATTCTCAAACTTACATAGAGCTTTTTGTGTTATTTTAGAGCACAGTGCTTCCTTTCTGTGAGCGGGCCTTGGAAGGCTGTAAGATTCAGCTTCCGAGCCGTTGGGCAGGCACTCTGAGGGAGAGGCTGACATGGCAGGGTCTCTGCTCAGTCAGGGTCAGCTGTCCGGCTGGCTCCCTCCGGTATTTCAACTAGACATACGTGCATTGACTGTTTGTGCCATAAAGAAAGCAGCCCTGTGCCACATAGGACGTTTCAGTCAGTGATAGCCTGTACTCTACAGTGGTGTCCCATAAGGGTGTTTAGCCTCGTGATGCTGTAGCTGTCTTAGCTTGTGTGAGGACACTGGTGTCAGCACAGTGACGAAATGTCCTAAGGACAGAGTTCTCAGTGCATGTCCCTCCTGTTGCTCGTAGCACGGGGTGAGGGTGGGCATGTAGGAGCGTGACTGAGCCGCTGTGACACATGTCAGTGGGAGGGTCCAGGTAGCTGTGTGAATGGATGTCCATGGCAAGTCTCCGCTTGTGCTGTTCGGAGGTTTCCTTCAGAAAAATCGGAGAATAAAAAAATTGTCTTTTGGGTCCTGTGAAATGAACTTCCCTTTCGTGAAGCTCTTTGCCTTTGGCTCTTGCTCCCTCTCAGGTTTCGCTATCAGGACCACACCTTTATAAAGACCCTCCACGCGGCCCTGCAGCTGCTGTACGGCCCGGAGAGCATGGTGCGCGCCAGGCTCGCGCCCCTCCGCACGGTGCACATGCTGCTCACCCAGCACTCGCTGTTCCTGCCCAGCCTGCTGACAACCAATGGGGAGGAGAACCCGGACGGTGATATGAAAGGTGGCCTCCCCGCCCTCCCAGTGTGGCTCAGCTTTTATTTCCTGGTTTCAGAGCTAAGCAAGCACTGGCAAAACTGATTTCTGTCAGATCCGGGGCCAAGAAACACACCTGGGCCTTAAGCCACGCAGCGCTGTAGTCCTGTATTGAAGGCCTTGTCCTGCTCACAGCAATCTTGTCAGGGACCTTTTGGCCTGTTGGATTCTGGTGCTGTCATGTGGGAGTTAGATGAGTTTAGGAGGATTGAGAAAACAAGTGGAGGTGTCTGGCCAGAGAGGAAGTAGTCTAGTTGCACAGCTTTTCATAGTAGGGTGATTGAAACTGACCAAGGGAAAAGACTTCAAACTTGCCTGTTGGCAGTCCACTTCTCCGGGCCGCTTGCAGAGGCCAGGGGTCTTCATCCCTGATCTACCCTACTTCCCAGGCGTCCCACATGTGGTGTGTGCTGTGGGGGGTGTCAGGAAGGATGGTCTGCAGGTTGCCACCACCTCTTGAAGGCAAAGCTAGATATAAAAACAGTCAGCACTCCCAGACCAAACTAAATCACATGGGGACTGGGTGGAAGATGCCCCTTGCCCAAAGTACTGCAGTGGGTAATAGAGAAAGTACAAAGGCTCTGCCCTGTGTTCATGTAGGAGGAGAAGTAGTGAGGATTTTGATACATAATCATGGGAGAAATGCCTAAATTTAAACATCTTTAGTGGCCTAAAATTTGAGAGAGAGTGTGGGCAGACTGAGCTTTGGTTTGTCAAAAATCTAGAGACATGGTGCTTGTGCACATGTGTTTATTTAAAAAATATCTAAGAACAGGGAAGGGACTAGGTGGAGGCCCCTGGACTGCTGCTGATCAGAAAAGGACACTGCAGCGTGCAAGCCTTCCCCAGACCCGGCCTCACCCATGCGGTGCTGCTGATTCAGTGTCATCTCTTCCAGAAGCCTTGGTGGATCTGATGGCGACAGTGGTGAGGATGTGCCCCTCTGTCTGCGAGAGTAGCCACTTTGCAGTGCTGCTTGGGGCCTATGGTGCCACCCTCAGCACCCTGGGTGAGCATGAGATCTGAGTGTGTGGCGGAATGTGGGGGACGGCTGAGAACTATGAAGGGCATTCCTATGGGTCAGTGCCTCAGCCCCCTAACAGGAGTGTCATTGGACTTCTAGACCAGAAGATCCTGCTTCTCCTCCGGGCGTATGAAGAGAACAAGCTCAGCCTCATCAACTTCCGGTGAGGGTTGGTGTTGCAGGTGGCTGGGGCTGGTCGGCAAAAGGCATCAACCTTAATAGTGTATCCTGTCCCCTTCTGCACAGTGAGCGCCATACCCCTGTTCTCATTTGGTTCTGATTCTCAGCTCAAGGGCGACAGAGGTCTCCCAGCTCATGCGCAGCCCCAGGAGAGCTGCTCAGGCGAGATGTGGCCTTGCACTGTAAGGTGATATCTCTGGATAGCTGCCCCTGCTGGTTGACAGGCTGTCTCTGAAGACCTGCCCTGCCCCAGTTACTTCTGGCTAGGAGATCTCAGGGATGACTTTTCTGAGAACCTGTCTCTGTACTCTAAATGGTGTGACACGATGAAGGAACTGGGGGAGAAGAGAGGGGCAGGCTGAACGTGAAACCAATTTTCTCTTGTCTGCGCATTTGTGTATGTGTCCCTGTCCCTGCTTTTCTCTCTGTTCTTCCTCTGTCTATCCTGGGCTCCAGCAGACTTGCTGCCATACCCTTTGGGGGGGTCGTGCTGCTCCCTAGATACCCTGCCCTATCTCTGCAAGTGCCAGGCCAAGCAGGAAGTGACTGAGTATGTGCTTGATAGAAAGCATTGTTGGATTGTCTTTGTTGCCCTGGATCCTTCTTTTCTCATCATCATTTGGAGCCAGCACCCTCCTGCATGCCCAAGATATACATGGTGACAGCCTTGTGTGTTTAGGTAGGAACTGAGCTACCCAGGCCAAGGAGAATCCAGCAGATCTCTGCAGGGAACAGAAAATTTTCCTTTTGGAGCATGCTTTTTAAAACAAAGTTAAATCAGTCCAGAGGAAATGGGGAAATAAAGAAAAGGGAAACATTCTGTATTCTTTAAGAATGGCAGGATAGGGCCGGGGAGATGGCTCAGTAGAATAAGTGCTTCCCTAGCAAGAGCAAGGGTCTGAGTTCAATCCCCAGTTCCACCAAAAAAAAGAATGGCAGGATAGCGCCGGCCCTGCCCCTAGGCGCACTGAGCTGGCCACTGAGTCCAGGCGTGGTGGCACGTGCCTGTAACCCAAGTGCTGGGGAGGCTGAAAACAGGAAGATCGCTACAAGTCCAGGCTGAGCTGTGTAGTAAGACCCTGTACGAAATACATTATAAAAAAAAATGGCAAGACAGGGACAGTGATGTAGGCCTGTGACCCTGACCCGAGCACTCTGAGAGGCTGTGGCAGGAGGATAACTAGTTGGAGCCCAGCCTGGGCAATTTAGTGACTTAATGAGACCCTGTCTTAGTGAGATCCTATCTAAAAATTTTATAGAGACAGAGACAGAGAGTGTTTAACTTGGTGCCAGGACCCTGGGTTCAGTACCCACTACTGACAAAAGTGTCCACATCTAGGGTAGCTGTTGTCCTCCATCTGTGCTGGCTCCATCCTGCTGTGTGAGGTTGCTGCTGTCAGGTGTTGCTTTTCTGGGGAGAGAGGGCAGCACATTGGGGCATTAGGCCACTCTCAGGGAGCAGAGAAAGCCGCAGGAGGCTGCCAGGTAGTGAATGGGCTGGCACTGCTCGGGAAAGGAGTCCACACAGCTCCTGGAGGATGTGGAGCCATGCGCTTCTGGCCTCACCATGGCTGGTTGTGCAGCACCCTCAGGCAGGGGGCTGCCTGAACACAGAGCCCTGCCTGCCTGACAGAGCCCAGGGCAGCAGCGAGCCTCTCCCGAAAGAGGGATTCTTTATTGTTTAACTGTGGTAGCTATCATTTACTTGCACAGAAATAAATATTTTGAAGAATCCTGTTTGAAGTACTTAATAAATGGCAGAGAGCAGGCACATGAGTCTGAGCAGGAAGTAGGCCTCCTCAGAGGGGAGTGGTGAGGTCGGTAGGCTAGAAGGGGAGGGAGAAAGACCCAGTTGTTCTCTAGCTGCTGTGGGCTGCATGGCATCCATGTGGTAGGACAGGCTGCAGAACCTGTGTTGGGCAGCCTGGTCGTGGAAGGCAGGGAGAGCTTGTGATTCTGTACCTGGTCCAACACAGACTGGAGCCAGACTCCCCAGGTTTGAGTCATGGTCCTCTCACCAGCCACGTGGCTGTCTTCATTGTCCCTGCACCTCTCCGTCCCTTCACACAAGGGGCTGGAAGCATCCTCCTAATGGAGCCGTGCAGTTGTGTGAGTTAGTGTCCTGGAGGACTTAGAGCAGCACCAGGCACAGTCTCTGCCATCACCACTCCTTGGTATCTGACCACCACCCACAAGGGGGTGGAGTGCCAGGCCTGGGCGCTGACCAGGAACAGTGCCTGGTGTGAGCCAGCAGCTAGGCCAGTGCTTCCGTTGTGGTTGTCATCGTTGTTGTCATTATTGATTCTGGGGCCATGACAGGACTGTCCCCTCCTTTGGCTCTAGGGTGCTGCTGTGGGGCCCAGCAGCTGTGGAGCATCACAAGACGTGCCGGAGCCTCGGCAAGTCCCTGTGGCAGCAGCCGAGCGTCGCTGACATCCTCTGCCTGCTGGACCGGGACCGCATGCTGCAGACCATCCTGCACTTCCCCCAGAGGCGCAGGCTGCTGCCCCCCGAGGTACGGCCGCTGCTGTCTGCCCTTCCTTCCCGGGCTGGGTCTGCTCCCTGGGCTCAGATGTCTGGTTCACTTCATAGGACATAAAATTCCAGTCCCATGAGGAAGTACAAAGTGTACCCATACCCCAGCCCCCAGCTTCATCCATTGTCACTGTCCTCTTATTTATTATTTCTTTCTCCCCCCAAAAGTCTTTTTAAAAATCCCAAAGATTATATTTCACATATAAGTGCTTTTTATACAGCCATTCTGCCCATGGCCTTCACATTGAGCTATATCTGTAGCCCTTATTTATTTTTTGATCCAGGGTCTCACTGAGGCACTAAGTTGTGCGGGCTGGGCAAAAACTTTTGATCCTGCCTCAGTGGTGTGCCACCATGCGTGGCTTAGAGCTACTTTTGCTTCATACTTTTTATACTTTTTTGGTTCTGGGAATCAGACTCAGGGCCTTATGCTTGCCAGGCAGCTGCTGCACCACTGAGCTAGATCCTTGGCCCCACTTTATGCTGTTAAGTAGAACAATTTGAGCTCCAATAGTAGTGGATTCACATTTACATGTTTTGCATTTGTGAAGTTGAGTGGGACATTTTTGGTTGCTTGTGGACATTTCAGGGTGCCCAGGAGGTGATATTTAAAGACAAGAGCCTGAGAGTGGATCCCAGTGGCCTGTATGACCCCTGCTTTCTGCTTCATCTCTTCGGGGAACTCACCAGGCCAGGTAAGCACCGCCTCCCTGCTGTAGTCCATCCGCTGCTGGGGGTTCGGGGCAGGAGAGGGTAGGCTTGCACTGTGACAGCCAGTGGAGGGCCTGAATTGTGACGCTCGTTCCTTCAGGGTCTTTCCCCTCTCCTTACAGTTTTGTCCCAATGATTGTCAGTAAAGTCAAGAGTTCCTGTTTTGAATGTACAGCAGTTTTGTTTTCATATTTGAATGTATAGTAATTTTTTTAAAAAACAATTCATAGTCTTGAAACCTGAAGGTGTCTATCTGTTCTTGAGGTCTTCTAATTCCTAGAGATCTGACAACCATGTTGTGGATGTTTAGTGGGTAGTGGGCAGAAACAAATGAAAACAGGAGTCTTGGTACGGGGGACGAGTCCGAGTCTGCCAAGGTCAGCTTTTTCTTGTTGCAGTATATTTTGAGAATGCTTTTGGTCTGGTAGCCAGGGCTGACGTCTCTGGGTGAGTGACAGAGAAAATGTGCGCGTGTGCCTCAGTCCTTTTCCCCGAGGGACACTTCCTGAGCCCCCAGGTGAGTGCCAGAGCAGCAGATAGTCCTGAGCCCTAGACACACGTCTTTGCCTTTTTGTCCGGACTTTAGATAAGTTATACTGAGAGAGCAACAATAATAGCTTACTGTATTTTTTCAGCATACAATTTTTTTCTTGTAAGTCAAGAGCTTTCACCTTTTTGTGGCTTCCCTTTGCCACGTGCTGGCACCACTTGTGTCACACCTTAGGACCTTCCTATAGTGAGTAAGCAGCCCGAGGTGCTGCAACCCAAGACAGTCTGATAAACACATCATTGACCAAGTGAGGAGTGGGAATGCTGGACGAGGGTGGCGACTCACTTCCTGGGCCTGACACCCCTCAGCGTTTCATCCAGGGACGCAGAACGGCACCCTGCGTAACGTTTGGCCATGAATTGTTTATTTCTGGACTATTGTGGGTAACGTTCTCAGACAGGAGCAGCAGCAGGTAACTGAAATCTTGGGTAGGGAAAGTAAATAAAGGGGGGCAAGCTGTACGTGTATCAGCAAGACCAAGTTGATCGTTCCACATTCGAAGACACACAGAGACCCTTTTTGGTGAAACATGCACTCGCGCGGGGGCTTTTCCAACTGAGAGTGTATTTTATTGTAAGTTTTGAGGGTTTATTGTGCATCCTAGATATAGTACTGATTCCTGAAAGGGTACAGATGGTCACATGCTGTCTGTAGCTTGTCTTTTCATGCTCTTGCACAGAGCAAAGATTTTACTAAAAGTCTAATGCTCTTAAGTCAGCTATCCATTCATGCTTGTTTCCATGGGAGGTGTGGGGTTGAGGGCCAGGTTTGTTCAGGCCCCACTTGAAAAGGCCCCGGATAGTGAGCTTTCCTAGCTGGGAGGGTCAGGGTGGCTGTACCTGACGCAGGACAACTGGGTAGTGGTGAAAGTCCTTGCTGTCCCCTGTTCTTCCTTTTGATACACCACTAGGGAGCAGCGTAGTGCTATTACTGTGCAGTGGAGTCATGGTGTCATCTCACAGGGCCAGGGGGCTCCTCCCCACAGTTTGACTGGATGGTGAGAGGGTCTACAGTGATGTTTGGCCATCTGAAGGGTTTCTGTTGTGTTAGACCAGCCCTTTCCAGTCTGGATTGAGAGCAGGTTCTGGGAGCTGTGCCTGCTGGTATTTGAGTCCATGGTATCTTCTGCTCCAACTCTGGAATGCAGGGGGCCAAAGGACAGTCCCGGAACTCCCCTTCTTGTCCTTTTGAGGGTCTTGAGACCTTGAGCTGGTGTGCCTTCTCTCTTTCAGTCATTTTGGGTTTATTTTATATGCAGTGTTCAAGACACTTAGTTGTGCCTGGCGTGGTGGCACAGGCCTATAATCCTCGGCAGGAGGCTGAGGCAGGAGGATCACTGTGAGTTCGATACAAGTTTGGACTACAAAGTGAGCTCAAGGCCAGCCCAAACTGCATAGCAAGTCCTGTCTCAACACCACCACCACCGCTACCACCAAAATATCCTTAGTTGTACTTTAGGAAAAACCGTAATAGTGTGCCTACTTATCCTCCCTTAGCAGACCTAACAGTTTAATTTAACTAGTCTTGGCATTTGCTAACAACTTAGGTGGTGCTGAAGGCTCATGGTGAAAATCTCCATCTCCCCTCCCTCTGGCCGTGGCATCCCCACTCTGGAGAGAAGCACATCGCCAGTCCCTTGTTATCGCTGCAGTCCGCCCTGCTTTTGTAGGCCTCTTGAGTCCAGCTGGACCTACGAGCAAGAGCTTGGAGTCATGGGCATGGTGGGGCCTCTGTGGCCCTTGGCACAGCCCACATGGCACGGAAAGGGCTCCTTTGCATGGGCCTCCCAGGCTGTGTAGTGGACTACAGAGTTTATAGCCACTGCTTACCCTCTTTTCCCCCTTTAAACTTGACATTTTCTTTTTCTATAGCAGTGCCCCTACCTATGAGCAAATATACTGAACTTCTACCATTGCCCTTTATATCCCTTCAGAAGGATCAAAGAGGGCTGGCTTGCCATGCAGATGCCCGCCCCCAGTGGCCCTTGCTGCTGGTGCGTGCTCCCTGGGTGCTCTGTGCTGAAGGTGGACTTTATCTGGAGGAGAGCAGAGGGCCTTTTAAACACAGGTCAGCGTGCTAATCACAGGCCAGCACTGTACTCGCCCTGGTAGCCATGAGCAGCAGGGGAACTGAGGCAGGTCCACAAATCTTTGGCTAGGAGTTCCAATTCCCCTGTGCCTTGTGGTGCTGGCTAAGTCTGTCTTTCATGAAACATGAACAATAAATGTTACATAATCTAAAAATGCACTATGAGGTTCCTGGCCATTGTAACTTGGGTGAATTATAACAAGTCATTTAGTCTCTTCCTCTGTCTCACAATGGATCTTTTAGAAGACAGAGGCCATGGCTTGGAAAATATTTAATAGTAAAATCAGGATATTTTCCACAAACTCTTGCATATTGTGCTTTTTCTTCTTGGTCAGAGGCAGAACCTAGGAAGCTTTTTGCGATGAGAAGTGACTGGTAAATAATTTCCTAAATTAAGGAAGTATATTGTCACTGTTCTCCTTACCTTAGATCTCCCAGCATAGCCTATTTTAAGCTATAAAACTGCTATAAGACAGTTTTTTTTTTGTTTTTTTTTTTTTAATGCAAGGCACAACTGTCCTTATCTTTAAATGTTTTTGTTTTGTTTTGATAGCTCAGCACACTGGTGACACTAAGAATTCAATTGAAGTAGAACATTTCAAAAACCATAGAAGTGGAGAAGAAAGTACAGTAGGTGTATCAAACCCCCCCCCACACACACACACACAAATAGGGTTCCTAGGTATTACTTGTGGCTTTTTGTCCTGAGCTAAAAGCAGAAGCCTGGTACTTCAAACAAATGACACAGTTCTCTGAGAAGCAGCCCATCACTTCAGCAGAAGAGTATGGCCAGTGCGCTAAAATGATTTAAAGGTGACATACAGAAAAGTGCTCAAGTGATGTTGCTTGGGTTGAGTTTAGGGTCCAGCTTCTCAGGGAGCAGAAGAACATGGTTGACGCCCCTCCACCCCTGGGGTGGGCAGTGTTGTTTACTCGAGTTCCTCCTGCATGGCATCATGACCAGTGCTGTCTCTGAGGCCAGCATCCCCCTGCCCTCGCGAGGTGCCCCCATGCCATGTGCAGCAGAAGGCTCCCAGGGAGTCTCTGCTCTGCCCTGGCCCAGGTAGTACTACCCTTCCCGCAGCTCCCAGTAGGCAGGCCATCAGTCTCTGTGTGTGCTGTCCTCAGAGATGCCACACCTCCCTGCTCCACTTCCCACCCTTTGCTTCAAGTGGGCTTCTGTGTTCTTACTCTTACCACTTCCCTGCCTGGAGTCCTTGGCCAAGAAATGGGGCCAGCCTTGGCTGTTAGCAGTGGCAGTGAGAAATGCTTTTTCCACAGCAAATTCTTCTCCCTAGAATAGGGCTGTGACCTCGAGCTTGTAGTTCACATGGCCATAAGGAGCCGGGACAGGAAGGCTCACTTGTTTTCTGAGCCTCCTTGCACGGGCCCTGTGCACTCTTCTCATTCCAGTGAGCCCTGCCTAGCAGCCCCCGTTTCCTGCTGAGAACAGGCTTGAGGATGACTTCTGGGGCCGCAGGAGCGCTGGGCGCTGGGAGAAAACCCACTGCAGCCAAGGCACTTTGATTCCATGCCTTGCCAGTTGCCTGATCAAGCCATTTCAGCCTGAAGGTCTGTCACCAGAAACCGCATTGCTGTGTATGAGGTTCTTAAAACAGAAAGAATGGCATTTATAATGATTTTGAAATAGTCCGTTATATTTTCAGCATACCAAGGGCAGCTCTTTTCCATAAATATTGGAGAGCCAGTACTTCTGTAGAGTAGCAGACATAACACATGAAGTTGAATTTTCCTCATGGACTATAGAAAATTCAGTGGTCTTAGAATGTCCTTGATTACTACAAATACCCTAGCCAGTTGAGTACTGGCTCTATTTAGTCAGTGTAATACTAAGTGGTTAGATGGTTTTCTCTTTAAAATATATTACACTTATATGCATTTGTTATGGGGTGCTACTGTTTATAGCTTGCAGGAGGTTTTTTTTTTTTTTTTTTTTTTTTTGTGGTACCAGGGATTGAACTCAGGACCTTGTGCTTGCCAGGCAAGTGCTTATTCTACTGAGCTATCTCCCGGCCCTATATGCATTTGTTATGTAGATAAGTATGTGTGTCTTAAATACATTTGCTGGGCGTGGTGCCACATGCTTGGAGGCTGAGGCAGGAAGATCCCTGCAAACTCAATGCCAGGCTAGGCTACATACTGAACTCAAGGCCAGCCTGAACTGTACAGTGAGACCCGTCTCAAAAATAAATACATCTCTTTTCCAAAACAGTATAATCATACCAGTAGTTTGATGCTTTTAAAGCTTTTGCATTCTTTTCCCTCAAAAAAAAAAAACTGCTTATAAGAAAATTGAGTTCATAAGTTGATTGTTCTTTTTCAATTCTTCCACTTTTGATCTTTTTTTTTTTTTGGGAACCGGGGATTGAACTCAGGCCCTTGAGCTTGCCAGGGAAGCGCTTATTCCACTGAGCCATCTCCCCGGCCCCTTTTGATCTGTTTTGATATTAAAAATGGACTTCTGGTAAACAACATATTCTTGAAATCTACTTTTTATCTAATATAATCAATCATCTCTGCCTCTTTATCATCTCTGCTGTTTAATTGGAGTATTAAACATTTATATTTAATGTGGTTATAGATAAGCCGCCACTTAATCTTCTGTATTCTTTTTGTCCTTTAGCTACAGTTGTGTGTGTGTGCACGCGCGTGTTTGTTTGGTGATCGTTTTATGGTTTATCGCACACATCTTCCATGTGTCACAGTTTCCCTTCCAGTGAGATGATTTTCCTTTGTGCATAGGGTGGAACTTTACCAAAGTGTAGATCCATCTCTTTCTTCCTGACTTTTGTGCTATTCTTACCATACGTTTTACTTCAGGAACTATAATCCTTACAATATTGATATTTTTACTTCAAATTTTTAAAGAGGTTTGAATATTTCATATTTACCACAGAGCAAGCATTTCTTGTTCTCTGCTTCTTTTTGTATGTGGTGTGATTTCAAAAAAATACAGTGAGTGGGGTTTGTGGTTTTGTTTTGTTTTATTACAGTAAATAATGCATTGCCATTTGTCTCTCAAAATATTTGTCCTTGATTCAAACACACTCATCCCGTGGCCCTCACCACTCTCTGAAGTGGCTCTGAGGTCCTCTTTTTGAGTGTCTTTAGTTGCACTGTCTTGGCTGCCGTGATGTCCTCAGTTGGTTCAAAGCACTTACCTTTTGCAGTCATTTTTCCTTTGGGGGAGAGCCCAGAATCGCACTGTGCCAAAGGTGGATGAGAATACAGTGTTTCACACAATGTTTTCACAAGCTTGCTTTCCATTGGCTACCACTTAGCAGTACCGCTCATTGGATTTATCATACCTCATAAAGATACTTGTGAAAGAGTAGTTAATGGTCTTGTGTCTTCACTGTGCTAAATTTTTAAGAATTTAAGCATTCACCTTGTTTATTTTGATCACACCTTACAGATCAAGATTTCTCCTTAGTATCATTTTCCTTCTGTCTGAAGTACTTCCACTGAGAATCCTCACAGTTCAGCTGGTGTAGGAAAGAGGAAAAAGGAGTTGAACTGCTCCAAATTTTGAGTGAAAACAAGTACTTTAAATTGTGGTTCTAGGCATTGTGGCGCAAGCTTGCAATCCCAGTACTCAGAAGGATCGACATGAGTTTGACGCCAGCCTGAGCTGCATAATCAGTTCAAGGCCAGACTGAACTGTGAAGCAAGACCCTATCTCAAAAAAACAGAACAAACAAACCTTGTGGGAAGTTTGGCTCCTCACTCCCTAAGGTATCAGACCAGTATCTGACCTTCTTGCCCAGTCTTGTTCGGCTCTTGGCACAGTTGGGAACATCTCAGGCTTCTTGAGCGCTAGTGGATGCCAGCCAGCAGGTTCTTTTCCCTGTAGCTTTTGCCCAAGCTTGGTGAGCCATTCTTCTGGGAGATTTTCGTTGTTTGTAGTGTCAGCAAGGGTTGTAGAGTAGATGTAGGTGTATCTTTTTGTGAAATGGGTAGTCATCTCTGCCTGGTGTGAACCGGCTATGTTCCTCAGCTTGCAGTTGGTCTTGAGTTTTCCTCCGTGGTGCTCGTGTGCAGGATTCCCAAGGCAGCCAGCTGGGCAAGGCAGAGGCAGGGCGCCCATTTCTCCACTGATTCCCAGCTGTGTCTCCAAGCTGTGGCTGCTGAGATCTCAGTAGTGTGCCTCCGTGTCACCTCTGTGCTTGACCAGCTTGCTGCCTGTTGGTGAGAAGTAATGAAATAACCCCAAGGCCATAGAAAGTAAAGGAACCGTAATTATTGCCAGGGAGCCTCTGTCCAGCCTCAGTAGCAGTTGGGGCACCCAAAGAGACTTGCTTCCTTGGGTCCAGCACAAGTTGCTGTTGTTAGTAGGATGCAGAGGGAAATTGCATTCTCCAAGTTGTCCAAGAGCCATGCAATCTTTCCATGTGTTTAACAGTGCATTTTACTTCTGCTAGAATTTGTGGTGGATTGTCGAAAATTCTTGGATTCAAATGCTCTGAGCCTTACCATTGCGGCCCTCAGCAGCTACGATCCCCAGATGCGAGCAGCGGCCTACTCTATTCTGGCAGCCTTCTACTCACACCTGGAGGGGGCTCGTTTCCGGGAGCAGTCCCAGGTGAGTAGGAAGGGGGCAGCCCCCTGTGGTGACCCGGCCTGGTGGGGGGAGGTCGAGGAACGAGAGGTGACAGTGCTGCTAGGAGGTGGAGTCCATTCCCCTTGACCAGGTTGCCTTTGACCCTCTGCCCTGGGAAGGGGCAGTGGTTTCCCCTCCCAAACTTCTTGTGGGCACACAGAGGGGTTGGGCTGCTGTTGATCATTTGACCTAAACCCAGCAGTGAAGGTGGGCATATGTAGAGGGGTTAGAGGAATAAGAGTGGATTGGATTCAGGGTACACTGCCAGGCTTCTGTCTGCCATTGGGCACAAGTCTGCCTCCTAAAACAAAAATAAGATGTAAAAATCATCCTGGGGTGGCTGCAAGCTCGGTGTCCTCTACTCTGAGCCTGTCTCTCGTGTCTCTGGGATAGGAGGAGCAGGCACCTTCGGAGCTATGGAGCAGCTGCACTAGGCAAGGTGGTTGCCATTCTGAAAATACTCATTTTTTCCCCTCCCTCCTTTAGCTGCTTTACCTGTTGGATGTCGTCCGGAACGGCATTCGGACTCCGAACCTGAGACTCCCTTTCACTCTGGCCCTCTTCATCGCCAAGGCGGCCCTGCAGATTTTGAGACCAGGTACCCTTAATGTGTAGTCATGGAGAAGAAATTTAAAACTGAGGCTGAGCAGGTCCACTTGTGGAATTCAGCAGCACAGGTGTAACTACAGTGACACACTCCAGCTCACTCACTGCACAGAGTAGGGGAGCCACCACAGCACCCATCAGTAGTGGAGAGCAGGTGAGGGCTCGCTGTGAGGGTCACTCATCTGTGCTTGGAAGGCACAATTAGTGGAGCCCATCCTTAGAGCACCTGGAGTCGGTGTCCTGTGAACCGTGGGTGTCAGAACAGGGCTTCAGCTTGTCACCCTTGATGGGTCAGGGCAGCTCTGCCAAGGCAGTGTGAAGAGGAGGTGCTCAATTATGCAGAGCCTTGCTGTGGGACCTTGGGGTTCTTTAGTCTGTCTTAGTCACATCTCGCCTCCCAGTGAGTGCCCCCCCACACACACACACACTCCAGGCAGGTTTAATCTCATGCGCAAGGTTCCATGGTTAGTTTGTTGTTCTTAGAATTCAAATCTGATTCTCGTCTGCTCCCATATAATTTTTTATTACATGGTTTTTCATGCCTTACAAATTTGGGGACAGGGGAAAATAAGCATTTGCAGATGCCAAAGAAAAAGGCCTGTTACGAGAGATACAGCAAAGACCGTGGCATTTGTGTGTGGCATCTGGGAGTAACTGCCCCCCTCTGCCCTTGTATTGGGTGGGCATTGCGAGCAAGTGATTTTAGGCAGAGCTGCAATGGGAGGAGGCACCTGGCTACCTCTGCCTTCAAGAGCCAAGTCCCCATGTGTAACAGCCTCCCTTTCTGGGACAATTCCTCTCAGCGAGAGGCTGGGCATGGGGAGTGCTGCTGGTGGGGTGTCCACCCTGAGCTGTCCTCCTGCAGCCTTGTCCAGCATTGGACCCATGTGCAGGTCTAGTTGTATCCTACCTCTCATTAACTGCCTGGCCCAGGAATCAAAAGCTGCATAGGCACAGGGATTTATGCCAGGCCCGAAAGTCCTCTTGATAGCCAGTGTCTCAGTTACTCTTCTCTCGTTGCTGGGACAAATACCTGACACTCAAAAGGAAGGAAGGAAAGGTTTATTTAGCTCACAGTTACTGGAGGTTTCAGTCCATACTCAGCTGGCTCCAAGGCAGAGCGGCACATGGCAGAGAGCAACCTTTCATGGTGGCAGCAAAGAGCAGAGAGGAGGGGTGGCAACAACAGTGGCTTTGAACAAAGAGGAAGTCTGTCTCTCTGTTTCTCTTACATTACATCCAGGCTGTCTGCCCCAGGCTGGGTGTAGCACTCACACCCATAATCCCAGCAGCACTCACACCCATAATCCCAGTGGATCATGAGTTAATCACAAACTCTAGAAGTCCACCCCCTGACAGTGTGAGGCTTTGGGGGACAACTAGACACAAACTGTTAACACCCAGTTGGTGTGACTGTCTTGTGTCCTCAGAGGAGCACATGTACTGGAAGATCAGCAAGTTCCTGCTGTCACACGAGTACCTGAACATGGACAAGGTGCCAGGCTTCTACCAGTTCTTCTATAGCTCTGACTTTGAGGTATGCTGCTGGAGTCCCCAGGGTCCCCAAAGGCTCCTGCCCTGAATTACTCAGCCTTGGTTGCCTCTCTGATGATGCATCCAGTGTGCTGCACAGCCGACATGGTTGCACAAGCAGAGCAGAGCAAGAAGGTCGAGGGCAGAGCAGCTCATGCAGGCTGCGCACAGACAGCCTCCCATCTGTGCATTCTTCTTCATCACTTCTCAAAGCTAACGCTCTGCGTGCCAGGGTGCCCTGGTGACTTCCCTCAGTGAATTACTGGGGTAAATATTAAATGTCCCCTGTAGAGCACCAGCTTAGATCAGCTTGCTGTTTCAACTCTACTTGGCCTGTATTCCTGACCTGAGTAGATAGAATCAAAGATGAGATCGAGGGTTTTTAATACTCAGAGGCTTTGGCACCACTGGAAACTTGTGGCCTTTGGAGGCCTGTCAGAAAAGGGCTTCAGTGCACTTACCAGTGCCTTCTGGTTGCAGCACAAGACTGAGCAGGAGTGGGTACTTGGACTCCTACGGCAAGGGATTCGCGACAAGCAGTGCTATGAGCTGTGCGCCAGGCGGGGCGTCTTCCACATTATCCTGTCCTTCTTCAGCAGCCCGCTGTGTGACGAAGTGACACAGGTGAGTGGGTCCTACAAGTCTGCCATGCGCCTGGGCTGGCTGTGACTCCCTCAACCTGGCTTTGAATTGGGAAAAATGAGATCCATTAGTGCCTATCCCATTGCTTGTGTGGTACAGGTTGACTCATTTGTGGAGATGGTGTTAGTACTCTTGAGTACCATTTGTCCCTGGTGAAATGCTTTTCCTGTGGTCCTCATAACTGTGCCTTTGGCAGATAGGAAGGCCCCTTCATTCTGCTCCCACAAGGAGCGGACTAATCAGTCATCATGAGCCCGTGGAGGTGGCCAGGGACTCAGAGCACTTACCCTGCAGACGTGATGCAGGTAATGCCGTGCAGTGGCATCAGAACTCAGAACATGTGGGAGTGCAGCTTCTGCTTCCCTAACTAGTCAGGAATTTGTCTGTCGACTCTGTTCCATAGAGCAGGTGTCCCCAACCTCCCAACCACAGCAGTAAGTGGCCCTGGCCTCTCAGGAACCAGGCCCCTCAGCAGGCGAGTGACGCATCACCTGTATCTGTTTGCTCCCCAGAGCTCACATTTCTGCCTCGGCCCCACCTCCTGTGAGGTTAGCAGAAGCTTTAGTGTCTCACAGGAATGTGAACCCTGCTGTGAACTGCACATATGTGGAATCTGAGTTGTTCTTTCCATATGAAAATCTAATCCCAAAACCATCACCCTCCCTTCTGTGGAAAAATTGTTTTCTATGAAACCAGTCTCTGGTGCCAAAAAGGTTGGGGACCTCTGCCCTAGAATCAAGAGCTGATGTGTTTCTTGACTGTCGCAAGCCTTTGGAAAAAATAAATAAGGTTTGGGGCAGTGGTACATACCCATAATCCCAGCACTCAGGGAGCAGAAGTAGGAGGATCACTGTGAGTTCCAGACCAGCCTGAACTACATAACTGGATTGTCTCAAGCTGCCTTCCCCAAAAAATAAATAGAAAGAAGCTCTCTTATTTTGGTTGATTCTTACCCCAGTCGGTTTTCATTCTGAAATTATTTAAAATATAGAAGCATAGCATTGGGTCAGGAATGCATTTGCATCCATGGGGTTTAAACATGGTAGCTTTTCTTTCATGGCATCAAAGCATTCCGAAGCATCCAATCAACAGTTCAAGGAGTCCCATTATTATGACCCCTTTTCCAGGTGGTGACGTGGACAGCATGGGCTGCCGGCATCTCGCACTGGGCTAGATGTGGGCCTGCGTTCTGAGTGTGTGGTCTCTGTAACGCATCCTTGCTTCTGGATTGGGTCCTGGTGGTCGGCTAGTAGAAGCAGAGGTCCCCAGGCCCTCGATTGCTGAGGAAGACCTTTCTGGCTGTGACTGGTGGGGAAGGGTGTTTTCCTCTACACCCTCCACCACGGCAGACTGAGCAAAGCAGTGTTCATTTGTAGCATTTACCTGTAACCGCAGAATCATGAAATGGTTCCTCTGACCTAGTAAGTTCAGTTGCACCATCAAGGAATATCTTTGTTTTCGATTTTCAGAATTGGATTCTGGAAATCCTACAGAACATAGCCCGGGTTGCAAGATCTGCCTACGAAATCCTGCGAGACTACAGTCTTCTGACGTGGATTCTGCACATCCTGGAGAGCAGGTCAGTATCTTTTGCAGCAGAGACATGTGTCATATGGGAAGAAGGTGGACAGAGATGGGATGCCTGCTACCCGCTTTGGTGTCCATGGCAGTACGCTCTGAAACACAGTGCCCTCTGATGCCCCGGAGGGCCTGGTGTCCAGCTCTGGGTGATGTCCAGATGTCTTTCTCCCCATTGATGTCTTCCTTCTCATTATTTCCTAGGCCTTGGATCAGTACACATCAGCTGCCATTTATAGTGGCAGAGGCTCACCAGGCTTTATACCTGTAGTTTGCTGTCCTCCCCAGAGGTGCAGTGTCATGGCGTCCTGTCATACAGGGCCAGAGTTCCCAGCGTGACAGTGCTCAGCAGTTCACTGCCACCATTGGGTCCAGGAGACAAATCTGTGCTGTAGCTGTAACAAGACATGGCTTCTTCATGGGCCCGGGGAGATGGCTCAGTGGAATAAGTGCTTTCCAGGCAAGCGGAAGGGCCTGAGTTCAATCCAAAATGATAAGTCTTCTGATGCCCTCTTGTACATTTTTAGAGTATTTCCTAAACTTCCTATAAAAGAAAATCCCATTTACATCTTATGTGTCTTTAGACATGACATCAAGACTATTTGAGCTCACTGACCTTATCAGACCCCAAAGCTGCAACTCTTGTTGCGTAGGTCCTGCTTTACCTTGGTCTTAACCATCCAGCAGAAAAGTATAAAAACGAAGTATAGGGGCCAGGGAGATGGCTCAGTGGAATAAGCTCTTCCCTGGCAAGCGCAAGGGCCTGAGTTCAATCCCTGGTAATGCAAAAAAAAAAAGTATAAAAAGTAAAGCCATGCTGTTCTGTTGAGCTGTAGGGGACTCAGGTCAACAATTTCTGACATTGCCATTGAAACAGAAGACCCAGAACTATTATGGACCTCTGAACTCTTTGAGAATATTTTGCTGAGTTTACACACCTATAATATTTAAATGATGGAACTTAACAAAAAAAGGGGATACAGATAAAAGTCCATTTGGTATCTGTGTATTCAAAGTGGTTAGGATAGATATATAGTTATATTCTCTTAATGAATAGAGGGATTTGTTCTAATAGTGTTTGTAAATAGGATATAATGTCTGCATCTTGTACAGCAATTAACCACTAGGAAGAATGTATGCAATGTGTTAATTACTGAGACTGTCCTACCAATTTGGTTTGGAAAAAAAAAAAAAAAAGACTACTTGAGGTTTTTAAATTGCATAAATGCCTGGTTATCTGTTCCCCCTAATAACCTTATGTTTTAGAATCATAGCCAGGACAGCTCTCTCAAGTGTCCCACAGTGGGCCGAAGAGATAGCTCAGTAGAAGGGCCTGAGTTCAATCCCTAGTTCTGCCCCCCAAAAAAGACTTGATACACGTCAAGTGTCCCACAGTGACACCGGAGCTTCTGGGGGTCTCGGGGTAGTGCTGTGGCTCATAGAGTGCCTCCTCCTGTGTTGAAGCTGTGCCACTTTCACTTAGAGGATGTGCCTTTGGGGGTCATGAGTGATGGGACTATTGGGACTGCTGAACCACCACTTGGTCCTGTCGCCAGCACTGTGTCCCCACTGAACCCTGAGACTGGTTTCCTGGCAGAGTACAGACTGTTGTGTTTGCTTTCAGGTTTCTGGAGACCCAGCTGCTGGCTAATGTGATCTCCTTGCTGCACACACTGTGGGTGACTAACCTAGGGGACAAAGGCGTGGAGGGGGAGAGCCAGCCCCCCCGCCAGCCTGGCTCCCAGGAGCCCCGCAAGCTGCTTGCCCTGCACCTGGTCAACGAGTTCCTTTATGTCCTCCTCGCTCTCGTGAAGCACCTGAGGTGAGCCTGCCCTGTTGGCAGCCCTGCTTTGCCTGTTGGAGGTGCTGTGGCCAGTGCTGCTTACTGTAAATAGTAATACATAATATATAATACACCGGGACACACCAGGTCTCAGTCATGACTCTGCAGGCCTGGCACGAGTGCAGCTGGAGCCAGAGCAGCTGTGGGGGGTGTTAGGACGTCTTACACTCTTTCCTCTTCATTTCACCTTTGGAAGGCCTCTCATCTAGGCCCTAAGAACTGAACACACTTAAAGTGCACCGCAGGGGGGTCCTTGTTAGCCGGCAGAGCATCTGCCTTGATTCAGATGAGTCCAGTGAAGTCTCACCAAAGAGCACCCTGCATATGATTTTCACTGCGCCACGGTGTTCCCCAGCAGTCCTCACTGCCTCTCTCTGGACTTTCCAGCCTGTTTCTGTGTTTTCATCTGATCCCTTGGACTCAGATTCTTGGTTGAGTCCAGAGAGCTAAGTTCACCTTGGACCTGCACTTCATGCACACCCTTATGAACTGACGCTTGCTGACAGACCAGGGGATCAAATTAAGTTGCTGTAGACAGTCATGCTTCTGGTGTTGGGGTTGCTAGATCTGAGAACTGACTGTTCTTCTCACATTTTGTGGGGCAGCTGAGTTTTAAGTTTCATGGGGGGTTCCGAGATACCCGCTTCCTCCCAGCACCCATCAGTGAGAAGGCTCTGGCCGAGGGACGGTGCTCAGCCTGTGCACTCCAGTGTCTGTTTCTGAACTGGAGAGGGGCGGTGGTCCCAGGGTGCAGTTCTGTGCGTCCCCTGCCCCTGCCCTGCATGCTTTCTGCTGAGCTCCAGGGGGCAAGCCAGACTCCAGGTCTCCCCCTCTCCTTCCCCAAGACAGCTCACTTTTTCTGTGTCTGTGTACCATGGCTGTACCAGGTGCCTTGTTGAAAAGCAAAAGTGGTGCCTGGGTGGCCTGTGTGCATAATGTCACAGGACTGCCGGGGCAGGGGCAGCTATTGCTCAGTCTATAACACTGACTTCCAAATAGGCCCACCTTGGCGTCTGCCCAGCTAAGCAGCTTCTTTGAGACTCTGGACTCTGTGCTGAGGTACCGGGCCAGCGTCCTGCAAGCCTTCAAGGACATGGGCCGATTCACTGTGAACGAGACGATGCTCTCCACAAAAGATGTCCTGCTCCTCTTGCACAAGTGGAGCCTCATCGAAAGAGACATGATGCTCCAGGCGAAGCTGAGAGCAACTGTGGAGAAGTGCCAAGTCAGGGACCTGATGAGTGAGTGCCCCAGGCAGCCACTGTCCCTGTCCCAGCCCCAAAGCCTCAGGGCTTCGAGCCCCAGACAGGCAGTGGAGCCTTTCAGTTGCCAGCTTTGTCCCCTACTATAGAGTCAAAAGAACAGACAGGAGCTAGACCTCCTGGACTCAAGCTCTGGCACTGCCGCCTATAGGTTTCTGATTCTTCTCCTTTCCTCCCCTCCCTTCTGTTCCCTTTTCGTTGCCCGGGCTGCTCTTGAGCTGCTGGGCTTAAGCAGTCCCCCTGCCTCTGCCTTTTGAGCAACCAGGACCTCAGGTGCACACCATACCTTGTTTTCCTTCTGTACTATGAGGTGACTGTAGTACCCAGTGATGGTGGACTTTGTGTCCGTGTCATGTGCATCCGGTCCTATCAGCAGGAGCAGGGACCAAGGCTCTGGACCTAGGAGCTGCCTCTGCCTCTTCTAAGCAGGGTCTGTATGGGCAGGAGGACAGCAGCCTCACCACCCCTTCCTCTGTGTTAATAGAAATGCTCAAGGATAAGACCAGGCCTGTTGTGCCAGCCCGAGCCAGGGGCCCACGTGGCCGGAAGAGGAGGCCTGGGGAGGCTGAAGAGGCAGTCCAGCCTGAACTGGCGGCATCCAGGATGTGCAAGGCCCTGCTGAGGTCCATCCTGACCCACTGGGCACCAGTGGTCCCTGGTTCTAAACCCTCCCAGGACCAGGCCACTCAGGATAGCAAGGCCACAGGCCCTGTGCATGCTGCCACCTCCCTGGTGGCCAGCTGGGTGCTGTGCTCTGTGGCCGAGAGCCCGCTCAGCAGAGCAGAAGCAGCAGGACTCCTGGGCTGGCTCAAGAGCCATATTTTGCCACACCCAGTGGTGGTGGCCGACCTTGTTGGTGACGGAGCAGTGAGGAGGAGCCTGTTTCAGCTGTATAGCCGCCTTTGTGGTGCAGAGGGGCTGGAGGGGCCCATGCAGGATGTGGCCATTCTGTTCAACATGGTCATGCTGCAGCTGCTGGGGGCCCAAGGCCATGGGGGGAGCCCCTTCCACCTGGCAGTGGAGGCCCTGTGTGCATCCTGTGTGCAAGAGGAAAATGGCACCATGAGAGGTAATGCTGGTGGTTCTCTGGCTGCAGGCTGGGGAGGTATGGGAAGGGCCCAGGGCTAGGGGCAGGTTCTGTTTCTGCAGCAAGCCAGGCCTCTGCCAGCCCCCTCCTCAGCTTGGTTCCTGAAATACTCAGGTGACCCCTCAAGTATTTAGGTGACCCCTCACATGATTGTGCCATTTGAAACAAAGCAAAAGGAGAATCTTTGCCGTAGCTTTCAGGTGAAAACTTGGTCTCCTGTGAGAAAGGTATCCTCTCAGCCCATGTCCCTCCTAGAGACACTCCCACCCTACAGCGCGGAGGGTTTGGAACATTCCCTAGCCAGGTGTGGGACGTGCACAAGGGTGTGCTGAGCACAGACACCTGCACGGTTGGTGCAGGTGCATGGTTGGCGTTGTGCGGGCGCCCTCGGGTCTGACTGCACAGGTGAGCAGGGCAGTGCCTGGCGCAGGCTCTGCCGGCTGCCTCCTTCGGGGTGGCAGTCCCTTCACCGAGGAGCACAGAGCTCCTGTACCATGGGAGGATCCCAGAAGGGCAGCTCAGCCTTCAGTGCCACCCTGACAAGGCACTCAGACCCTGGCAACGATAGCCTTGTCATGACTTCTTGTAAGATCCACACCCGTAAGTCCATAAAGGTGCATTTTAGAATGAACATGACCTTAAGCTGAGGCAGTCCAGTTTTAGGCATGTGCCCCGCTGGAGTTGGCAGGCTGTGGTGCAGAACAGAGAGGCTTAGGAAGGCTGCCGGGCGGATGCTATCTGACGGCCTTCGTGTGCTCTTTCTAGCCTCCGCAGCATTCCTGGTGTCTCTGTACATTAAGGACATCTGGCTGGGGGCCCAGCAGCCAGACACACTCCTAGCGCACATCCAAATGGTCTGCAAGGCTGCCGAGGACACGCCGGATGGGGAAGAGGAGGCCATTGTTGTGCTCTGCAGGGACATCGCTGCCTCGGCCTCAGATGCTTTCTCCTGCTAACCGCTCCTGTTTGGTGGAGTCTTGTTTCCAGGGAAGGCATGAGATGACAGGTTCTGGATGTTGGCTCTGTTTCCCAACCAGAAGAGCCACAGAACTTTTATTTAACCAGTAAATAATGGTGTGCAAGTGGACGCCTGCAAGTGAGAAGGGCTGTGGGGCCGGCACGGTGCCAGGCTGCGCACCTCCTGCAGTCCGTGCTTGCAAACGTCAGGTCCAGTGCTGCGTGCAGCTAATCAGTGAGTGTCAGACTAGAACATCAGCAAAGACTGTCAGAGCTCGTGGTGAATACAAAGAGATGCATTTAAAGTTTTTCCTCTGTAGGAAGTTGGAACAAAATTTTGTATGACTGAATGAATGAGTGCCTGCCAGTGTTGCACCAATGTTGTATATTTTATTAAATCAAAGGGTGTCACACTAAATCCTTAAACTATAAAGTGGTTTGATCTCTACCTTGGGAAAGCAGCCTGTATTTTTTATAATTGTGTCCCAAAGGGGATTTTGAATTTTATAATCTCTCAATAATAAATGTCTATTTTTGTAAGGTTTTGTATTTTGCTTTCATTGATCTTAGGGCTGCTGTTATTCCAGAGACCTATATTTTATAGGTCAGAAACTGACTTTTGAGGTTCATGTATTCATGGCTATTGTAGCTGACAAAAAGTCTGAAATTTCATGGATTTCTTGGAAACCCCTGACCTGGTTCTTTGAGGCCCTTCTGCATACCCTGTGTCCTTGGGGTGACTCAGGTGCTTGGGGGTGGCTATTTACCTTGTCTGGTGTAACATACGCAGAATCATTTATCTTAAATTACCTAAGATGTTAACGGAGCCCAGAGTGACACTTCTTTGTGTGTACTCCTCTGCTGCACACAGCACTTGTTTTAAGAGGGAGGATCTCCAAGGCTCTTATGGGGGAAGTGGCCTGAGCTGTGCTGAGGCTCGGCCCAGCCAGTTGTGACAAGGCCAAGGCCACTCTGTGACCTTTTGTAGTGCCTATTAAACTCAAACTGGGACCTTGAAAAAAATAAGTAAATAAATAAATTATTTTAAGAAATTAAGGGGCTGGTGAGATGGCTCAGTGGTCTAAAGCACCTACTTGGAAAAAGCTTGGCAAAGCGCAGGGACCACGGTTCAATCCCCCAGCACCACATGCCAGCCAGCCCCACCCCCTGGTGGGCTGAGCTGGCCACACACACACACACACACACACACACACACACGTTAAAAAAATAAAAAATTTAAAAAAAAAAATTAAAAGGGTCATTTATCTCCAAACCCTTCCTCCATGACACTACTTTGACATTCTAAGTTGAAATTCTGTTTAAATTCAAGTTGGAAGAGCTGGGGAGATAGTTCAATAGAATAAGCATTTGCCTGGCAAGCGCAGGGTCCTGAGTTCAATCCCCAGTACTGGAAAAAAAAAAAAATTTCAAGTTGGACTCATCTAAGGACTGTTACAGCAAAGACCACTTTTTCTTTCTCTTCTCTTTGCAGTTCCTTTCCTTATTATTTGTTTGTTTTAAGACAGAGTCTGACCCTGTAGCTCAGGCTGGCCTGAACTATTCCTGCCTCAGCCTCCTGAGTGCTGGGAATACAGGCATGTGCCACTACACCCAGCCCACTTTTATCTTTCTTTTTGCCTTTCTGTTGTATGTTGGGATTTCCTTGTTTGCAGGCCTCTCCAAGTAGCATGTGCAGAGGGTCTTGGCTGGCAGGGCCAGGGCTGGGGCCTGTTTCTGGCCTGGGCCACTGGCAGAAGGAAAGGAACCATGGACAGGGAGAGTTGCCATGCCCCTCACGAGCTCCAGGCCTCAGCGTCTCCTAGATTCGTAGGTCCAGGGACTGGGTGGCATTTGACGTCCCTGCTGGGCCGAGGCAGCTTCACACTCAGCACACGGGGGACACCTGCTCTCCTGTCACAAGCCTTGGGGAAGGACTGTCCTGCTCACAGCTGTCCTCCTACTGCCCTGGAGCCACCTCCTCAGCTTGTCACTTCCTTTTCCCTCTGAAGAAAGTTGTCCTGGAGCAGATTTCCACAGCTAAGGTGAGAAGCAAAAAGTGAAAAGATGCAAAGATGCGGCCCTAGGCAGCAACAGGACCTCAGAGTTGAGGACAGTTTTAGCAAGTTGCCCCTCTTCTGCATCTCGAGCCCACCAGTCCGGCTGTCCCTGTCTTCCAAGCCCACTGCCCGTGTGCTGAGCCCTGCCTGCCCCCCCTGTGGAACCATCCATCCCCAGGTGGCAGGAGCTCTTGCCCTGTGCAGAACAGATCTACACAGACCTCTCCATGATGTAACATGCAAAGCACTCCATTTTAAATACAGTCACTACTCCAGAGCCTAGATCCCCTTCCAGATTCAAAATATTCAGAAAGAAAAACATGGCTGGGGCTGGGGAGATGGCTCGGCCATCTAAGCGCCTCTGCTGCACATAGCACTTGTTTTAAGAGGGAGGATCTCCAAGTCTCTTACGGGGGGGAGTGGCCTGAGCTGTGCCGAGGCCTGGCAAGTGCAGAGGCTTTGTTTCCTTTACCGCATGCTGCGTTGGCCCTGGAAGCCTGGCTGTCCTAAAACGGCTTGGTGGTGCACGCCTGTAGTCCCAGCGCTGGGGAGGCTAAGACAGGAGGATCACTATGAGTCCGAGCTGCATAGGGAGACCTTGTACCCGATAAATAAGTAAAAGATTTAAAAACCAAACAAACCCTGGCTGGCATGGACATCCTTGTTATTCCCTCTACAGCACAGCATGATGGTTACTTGCCTGACATTTACCCTGTATTTGGGGTTATTCTAAGAATCTGAAGATGATGTGAAGTCTGCCAGAAGGTGTGTTGGTTGTATGCAAATACTCTGCCACTGTGTGGGGGACGGGGGTGGGAACTGGGTCCATGTGAAGCTGTCCCCCTTTCCAGCCCAGGGCCCTTGCTTAGCAGAGAATGAGACCCTTCAGGGCTTTATGTGATCTCCTATCACATAAAGTGGCACCCTGAGCGAGTCGCAGCCTGCCAGCCCCAAGCATTTTTCCTGCCTACCACAGCACCCGAGGCCGACCCATTCCCAGGTGCAGGTGTCACCTGGCCGGCCCAGCTGCACTGCCACCACGGGAGTGTCTGTGTCCCCAAGAGCTCTGAAGGCTACGTGCTGGAAGAGCTGTGATTTCAGTCCCTGGACTACGGTGCAGACAACGCCTGTCCATGAGCCTCAGGAATCAGCAGAGGACCTGCACACTTTGCCAGCGTCCTGAAGGTGCAGCAGATCCCTGGACACTCCTCCAGGAGAAACTACCAGAGCGAGTATTAGGGAGCACACTTCTATTTTATTTCACATAGGCAGACACTTTATTTTCCTACTCATCCCAAGGCAGGCAGAAGCGGCGAGCAGGCTGAGTAAGCTACATAGGAAGGCCAGGAAGCTGTCCCTCTGTAAGCCTTTGGCCCATGTGAGTGATGCTCGCACGTCCTTGTACTGTCCTCTGACATGGGGCCATCGGTGACATGCATCTACACTGCTTGCTGTCACTGGTTCCCACGGCCGTGGCTGGTGTTCAGCATCAGTCCTCCAGGGCAGTCTCCAGCACTTGGGCATCATGCTTGCTCACCTGGGGCTGTCCCAGAGGAGAGCTGGGGCTTTGAGGCAGAGGGTACCTACTAGAGCCACTGGTCTGCGTCTGTGCCACCCGATGGACCCTCTGCAATCCCTTCTGCAGTCCCCTCCGAGGCCCTCCGGAGGCAGAACGGAAGGCTGAGGCAAGGACTCCGCCGGCACTCTGGGTGCTGCGGGCCGTTCCTGTGGATGACGCAGGGGGAAGTGGTGTCAGAGCGCCTTCCTGTCACCTCCCCTACAAATACATGTGCACACACACATGCCCACACCCTGGATGCAGTGGCTGTTTGGAAGGGTCAAAGGCAGCTCAGGAGCCGGGCCTCAGGCCTTTCCCTCGGGATCTGTCCTGCTCAGGACTGCTGGGCCTGGTCTTCCATCCTGCCATGTGTCACCACATGTGTCTCTCACATGTGTACCCTAAGCTTACTGGTGTCTGAGCTAAGAAATCCATCCTCCCTAACTTCTGCCTGGAGCTGCCTGGTATCAGGCTGGCCACCACTCCACCAGGTGCTGTGGCCCCAGAACTTTTTAAATGTGTATTCTTTGAGAAAGGGTTTTTCTAGGTCTCTAACTTAGTAGGCTCAATCTTAAGTCCTCCTGCCTCAGCCTCCCAGAGTGCAGGTGTTATCATGTACCACCACACCCAGTCTAGAACCCTTTATCATCCCCCAAAGACACCCACTAGCAAGCCCTTCCCTTCTCCTCCCCGCAGCCCTAAATGGCCATAGTCCTGCTTCCTGTCTGCAGGCACTTCCCATCGCTGGGGTCATCCGGTATGGACATCTGTGCCTGGCTTCTCAGGGCGCCATTGCTGAAGCTGTTAGGTGCTGTTTGGCAACAGGGAAGTGTCCTGAGGTGGGTCACTAGGTGAGCCTCTCCTGCACAAGTGTCATCGTGCATACTCACAGACAAGTGGCTAGGAGATAGGATGGTAGGGAGCCAACATCAGATGTGCAGCAGTGACGCATGACTGCGTGCCTGTCCTAGCATGAGTCACTTCTTTCTTCCTTTTTCGTGGCTGAATACCATCCCATGGCGTGGCTGCTCTGTGCTACTACCTGCCCTTGATTGCCTGAGCTCCCGACCCTCTTCCTACTTACCTCATCTGCCAGGAGCCTGACCAGGACATGCAGAGCAGAATGAGGAACAGGAGAATCACAAAAGCAGCCAGGCTCACCCAGAAGGCAATCACAATGGCGTCTGTGGGAGCAAGGGCGATGGCTGTGTTGGCTCGGTGTGGACTGGGCCCGCAGGAGGGCTGGGAGGAGCCCCAGGGCCTGCTGCGCCGGGGCCCCAGGCAAGGTCCTTCCTCCTGGCCTTCCCTCTGTGATGGGCCCCAGGCAGAAGGTAAGCACAGCCCTGGGAAGTCCGGGGAGGAAGGGAGAGGCTGTTTCTAGGGCACAGGTGCAGGCTGGGGCCCACGTTGTCCACGGAGGGAGTGCGGCGAGTGTGTGCCGAGCCTGCAGATCTGCGGCCCCCCAGGAGAGCAGCTGTGAAGCCTGTTTCCTCTCCTCTTTTTGTAGCTTGAGGCCAAGGGAAACCTGGAAACTCACTCAGCCTCCTGGGGACTGCCCTTCTCCGGGTGTCTGGTCAGGAACTTTAGACAGGTTCTTGCTTGTTATCTCCGGCCATATCAGGGATGAAGCGCTTCATGAAAACCTGCAGGTGTTCTAGCTCAGAACATTTGGGTGACCTTAGGATGTGACGCCCAAACTGAGCCTGGCGTGGGGGTGCGCACCCATAATCCTACACAAGCGGCTGCGGCTGGAGGACCACTACTAGTTTGAAGCCAGCCTGAAGTATATAGCAAGACCCTGCCTCAAAGAACAAAAACAAACAAACAAACAAAAAACTCCACCAAAAACCAGGATATGATAAAAGCTGTACTTCCCAAAGGAACTCTGAGCACCCGATGCTTATGCTGGACACTTGGCATGTTCATGCCAGGAAAGTGAAGACCACAAGCCCCAGGTGTGAGCTGCCTCTTCTCTCCCTTCTGTCTAAGCTAAGAGACTAAGCCATTAAGGGGGACCTCTGGGAAGTGGGAAATGTGGTCCTATGGCGTGTCCCATGCTCATGAACTTTATGAAAAGCCCCCCTAACTCTCTCAGCATTTCTTGCCTGCTCATTGTAAATTTTTCCACGTGCCCAGAATCATGATTTGTTTCATAACTTTCTAGCGTGCACATGCTGGGGCCAGGGATGTTGCTCAGTGGCACCAGTGCCTGCCTCACAAGCTCAAGGTCCTGAGTTCAATTCCTGGTACAAAAAAAAAAAAAAAAAAAAAAAAAAAGAGTGTGTGTACTTTCTGAAAAACTGACATGGGACCTTATCTGTAAGTATATATTAAATTTCTTCTTCCTTCTCCTTCTCCTCCTCCTCCTCTTCCTCCTCCTCCTCCTCCTTCTTCTTTCTTCTTCTTTTATTCTTTTCTTCTTTTCTTCTTCTTTTGTGGTACTAGGGATTGAACTCAGGACCCTGCGCTTGCTTGCCAGGCAAGTGCTTATTCTATTGAGCTATCTCCCCAGCCCTAGATTTCTTCTTTTAGCATTTTATTTATTAGTACACATTATAGTACACCATGCTTATCTTCCTGGGGGGAGTTGGCACACATACTTAACCATCTTAATTCTTTTTACCCCCCCCCCCGTATTTTAGGTTTCTGCAGATGCTAATGTTCTTCTAGTCTTTGTAAAATTAATGCAGGGCCAGGTGTGTTGGTGCAGGCCTATAATCTTAGCACTCTGGGAGGCTGAGGCAGGAGGATCATTAGTTTGAGCCCAGCCTAAATATTGTAGCAACACTGTCTCAACATTTAAAAAAAGAAACATCAGGCATATAGCTTCATGCAAAGGCCCTGGATTCAATCCCAGTGCTGAAGGGGGTGGGGAGGGAAGGCAGGATTTAAGGTCATTAACATGGATAAAATTCTCCCAGGGACTCAGAAAACAGCTTGGAATCCTTGGCAGTTGAGAGCCCTGCCCCACCTGGCAGGAGAGCCCTTGCCACCTCCCCAGGTTCCCAGCAGGAAATGACAGACATCTCGCATTTGACAGCATCTTCAGATCAGTGGGATTTAAATGTCCTCAGGCTGAGAAGATAATTGGTGTCTTTGGTTACTCATCTGCCTTTCTCGCTGGCTTCTGTCCTGTTCTTTGGAAGGAGGCAGCCAGGGAAATGTGGCTCCTTTCCTCACTGCTCTTGGAGAGCATTTTGTTCCGAGGGTAAGAACTGTCTCTGCCAGGACTAGGGATGTCTGAGCATCCCATGAGGACTGGCAGGCCCAGGTGGGTGGACAGTGAAACTGCCCATTAGGGAGGTCTGCTCCCTCCCGCCCTCCCTTCCTGGTCCTTTTTTCCTGTCCCCCAGCCCATCCCTCTCTCCTTCCCTCCCTTCACCCTTCATCTCTCCCTTTTTTCTTTTTTCACTCCCTCCTTCCCTCTCCTCCTTCCCTCCTCCCTTTCTTCTTACCCCTTCCCTCTCTATACTGGCAGAAATGAGGAGAATTGGACATCAAGAACAGGAAGAGGGCCGGGAAGATGGCTCAGTGGAATAAGCGCTTCCCTGGCAAGTACAAGGGCCTGAGTTCAATCCCTGGTTCCACAAAAAAAAAAAAAAAACAGGGAGACAGGAATGTTCCCAGGACTCAGCTGGGCTTCTCCTTGCCTTGAGGGATCTCTCCTAACCTGGAGCTCACAGATTACCCCAGAGCATTGCCTACTCACAGCAGGTGGCTACTCTGATGAGTGCTGATCTGCTAAATCCCCACTGGTGCATGCTTCCAACTCTGCTAACATCTGAGTCCCCAAGTCCCAGGAGAGGTCAAGTTCAAGATGTTTCCCTTGCTGGGCGGGGCACTGTGGCTCACGCCTGTTATCCCAGCATTCCCAGAGCTGAGGCAGGAGGAGTGCAAGTTTGAGCCCAACCTGGGCTACTTAGTGAGTTCAATACTGTATTAGAACTACAGATTAGACTCCATCTCACTGACAACAAAGAAGCCAGGGAGATAGCTCAGTAGCATAAGTGCCTGCCTGGGGAGCTCAAGGTCCTGAGTTCAATCCCTGTAAAAGAAAAAGAAGGAGGAGGAGGAGACCTATCAATGACATCAAATAATTTTTCACGTATGTGGGAATAACAATGTGATGAAAGCCTGAACTTCGGAGACAGATGTTCTGAGTTCAAGTTCTGATTCCTGGCTACGTGATCTTGGGAGACAGCAATGAAATAATGTGTATGTATGCACACGGCACGGTTTCTTGTTCAGTGATTATAGAATGATTTACAAATGGAACTACAGTTACTGCTTTTGCTAAGAGGGTTTGTGGCAAGTGGGGCATTGTTGTATCCTGAATGTTCACCAACATTCAGACTTTTGTAGTGTTCTTTCCTAAGCCAGTAAAGAAACTCCCTTGCTGAACTTAAACATCCAAATGAAGGTGACCTTCGAACTAATAGTCCTGTCCACCATCGCGACATATTTTCCTAACATTTATGTACTGATCAAATATACTCAGGTGTCCTCTTGAAATTGCCTTTGAGGACAAGTCTGTAAATTGCAAATTCAACACACAATTTTGCTCTGCTATGAGATCATACTTCATTTCTGACACCTACATGACATCCATCAGCTTAATCACACATTCCATTCAGCTAATTTGCTTCTGGGTATACCTAAACTATTTCAAGAAGAAAGTCCACCCAGAGAAAGGCTACAGAATGTACCACGACAGACGCTCAATACAATCTTCTGTGGTTACAAGTCCATTCCAGGAAGTTTTTGAGTAATAACAAAATCATCAAAGGATAGCACCTACTCCTAAGGCTACTCTGACACAAATTTATTCAGAGGTAAACATCCTGGTACTTTTGTTTAAAAATCACATTCATAGCCCAGCGTGCTGGCGCATGCTTGTAATCCCAGCGCTCTGAAGGTAGAGGCAGGAAATGTGAGCCCAGGCAGCAATTTAGTGATTTAGCAAAACTGCGTCAAAATGAAGACTCTTCTTATTTCCCAACTATCTGTCTTCCTTTTTGTTCTGTACCCTTTGGGCTTCTCACACACACAAAAGCAATGTGGTATTTAAACACGCGTTCCTGATTTATTTCACTTAACATTATGGTCTTGAGATGCATCCATGTACCTAAAAAGTCTTAAGTTGTCCTTTATGGCAGAGTAGTACTCCACTGAATTTGTTCCCATGGGAAGAGAAGGGGAGGAGACAGGGAAGGAGAGGAAAGGATTTTTAAAGAAGAGAATGTAAGGGGGAGAAGGAAACAAAGATTTTGTAAATAAGGAGGGTGAGAAGGGTTGAAGAGGTGGAAGAGGAATGAGGCGGGGAAGAATTAAGATAAACTATATTGGGCTGGCCAGATAGTTCAGTGGACTAAAGTGTCAGTTTAGGCAGAGCATAGCAGCCAGGGTTCAATCCCTGGCATGCTGTTCCAGCCCTGCCCCCAAAGGGCACTGAGAC